TCTGAGAGAAATATTTTGACTTTAGAGAGAGGATATAACAGAAGGATTGAAAAGAAAATTGTATAGACCGAATGGGAGTGGCTGTTTCTTGAGAAATGATTCGTCTGAATGTTGTGCTCATTGGTTCTGAATGGAACGATTTCTTTCGGAGAGGTATCATCGGTTCGATTCTAAATCGCGTAATCAGCAAGAAAGAACCTCCAGTTATTGATTTTTTTGGACATTGTCATATGTTCTGAGAACTGAGACAGTACAGTCTCCGAAACATTTTTTAAATAAATACCAGGACGAAGGATAATATCCAGAAAGGCATTAATTTTATTAATATACCATCGTCACAAGAAAGAACCTGATAAATATTGACCACTTTCCTTCTGTCGATATCACATACGTAAAATTTAATTTTGAACCTTGTTCTAGACCTTTTTTTTAATTAACACACAGCGTGAGTTGAAGTAATTTATAGAGACTTGAACTGTACGACCGTATACAGAGATAGAAAACAGGGTGGAAATTGAAAAAGTAGTAGCTTGGTGGCTGGAAGGGAGGCTGCATGCTATCCACAAGGGAAATAACTTCACTTCGTGGGAGTGCGTCACATAGCTCAAGCAGCTGAGTCTGGCAGCCTCCTACGTGAGGTCCGGAAACTTAAGCTTTGTCCTGAAATCCTTCATTGTAATGGAGCAGCAGTGTATGTGACTTCCAGCATAGCAGATTTGTCTGTATGGGAGGCTGCAAGCTGAATTTCTAACGAGATGACGTTATAATTAGATTTAAGTGGTTTAAAACGTAACGAGCAAGAGGATCTGATGATGACAATTAACTTAAGCTAAAGTCTTTTCGGGCGATCACCCGTGTCAGTGTTGATTTAAAACCCAACCTTTCGTAGGTCCCATCCATCTGCAGTCATCACGGTCGCTGATGGACCACATCGACCCGGATGAGGAGGGCGGGGAAGGGTTGCATAACGACAAGTCTTATATGTAATTCATACTCATCACCAAATAGTGTTCATTCATTCATCAGTAATCTGTCAAGACGACAGGTCCACAGTCTCTTCCAAAACAGTTCCTCCACTTAGTACGATCCAGAGTTTCTCCTTCAAATAAAAATATCCTCTTCTGATGCCAAGGTCATCCAGCATCTTCTTATGTCTTCTTCCTCGTCTTCTGTTTCGCATACATGATGTCCCTGTTTTTGGAAAGAGACTATCCAGGAAAAGTGATAATGTGGTAGTTTTTCCATTTGCTTTCCACATCGCACAACAGCCGTTCAAACCACTCTGGTCACGCCTGTTGCTATACGATCTTGAACAATCTCGAGCATCATTTGCTCTGTGCTTCAAGTCGCTGCTTCCGGCATCAGTTTTTGGTTTTTGGTGTCTCTTCGTCTAATGCCTACTCTTTGACCTGTAGGAGGCCCTGCCAGTAGCTACGCTACCGCTGGTATAGCTCTCAGGGTCCTTGGCATATTCAAACCCCCTCACCACGATAAGGTGGAGACCCAAACGAGGGGGCAAATAGTGTTATAGCCAACAAATCCAAGGAGAATAAGATGAGTGGGACATGTAGCATGCATATGAAGAATGAGAAATACAGACAGCTTGTAAACCTGAAGCGATGAAAGAACTTGGAATAAACGGACGTAGAATGGAAGGTACTACTACAAAAACTGATCTTAAATGAATACAGTATATGCCGTATTAGTACTGTGGTTCCAGAATTATTGGCATGAGGCCTCCATACTCACTCACTCGTGGAGCTGAGCCCTTCTTGAGAAGCTGCTACGCAAGAACTTCCCAGCATTTTATGGAACCCGAAGGTTCACTACCGTGTTCATAAAAGCGTTCCACTGGTCCCAATCCTGAGCCAGATCAATTCAGTCCATACCGTCCCATCCTATATCTCTAAGATCCATTTTAATATTGTACGCCTGCATACGCGGTAGAGTAGTTAGTTGAGGCACTATGCTACAAGCCGGAAGGTCGCAGATTCAAGTACCAATGGGGTCATTGAATTTTTTCAATTGACCTAATCCTTCCAGCCACACTATGGCCCTGGAGTCGACTCAGCCTCTAACAGAAATGAATACCAGGAATATTCTTGGAATGTTCTTGGGGGTAAAGGGCGGCCGGCGCGTAAGGCTAGCAACCTTACCGCCATCTGCGTAGGTCGTACCGAAAGTCATGAGCAACTTTTTTTTTGCATACAACCTGGGAGCAGCAGACGAAAGAGAGTACGGTGGTATGTGGAAGCAGCTGTTGTGTTAACCTTGAGTGTCTTGTGACGTCAGTAGCGTGCATCATGTGACCAGTATCACTCCTAACAAAATGGCCGACAACGATATGTCGTTTCGCCAGCGTTCTGTAATCGAATTTATTGTGAAAGAGGAAATCCCTGCTGCAGAAATTCACCAGAGACTTCAGCGTGCTTATGGAAGCGTGTGCATGGGTGCGATCAGTGTTCGAAGATGGTTGAAACATTTTAAAGATGGGAACACTGGCATCATCGAAGATGAGCCTCGGAGCGGTCGCCCTCGAACAGCCTCAACTGAACGTAACAAGGAAAGTGTGGATGAGATCATTCAAGATGACAGGCGTGTGACCGTGGACACAATAGCCCGAAGACTTGGAATAGGGCACAGCGCAGTACAGGAGATGATTGAAAGCTTGGGCTGTAGGAAAGTTTGTGCTCGTTGGGTCCCGCGGTTATTGACCGAAGACCACAAAGGTCAGCGAAAAGCCATCACCTCAGAACTGCTGCAGAGATATCGACACGAAGGCGATGATTTTTTGCTCTTTATTGAGACAAGTGACGGAAGCTGGTTTCACCATTTCGAGCCTGAAACGAAACGGCAGAGTATGGAATGGCACCATTTGCATTCTCCATCAAAAAAGAAGGAAAAGACAGTGCCATCAGCTGCGAAGGTGATGGGCGCACTCTTCTGGGATGCAGAGGGGTTTATCCTGGCGGAATTCCTGGAACCTGGGCAAACCATCAATGCTGCTCGTTATGTCCAGACGCTGCACAAGCTCCGTCGTGCATTGCACGGTAAACGTCCGGGACGAAACATCATCCTACATGACAACGCTCGCCCCCACGCCGCTCGCCTCACATTGGAAGCAATGCAAAGATGGGGTGGGAAGTTCTTCCACACCCCTCCTATAGCCCTGATCTGGCACCCTCCGACTACCATCTTTTCGGATTTGTGAAGGATCAGCTGTGTGGACAACGTTTTGAGATGGGAGGCAATTCAGAAAGCAGTGCGTCAGTGTCTTCGGATGGCTGGAACGGAATTTTACAGAAGGGGAATTTTCCAACTCCCAGAACGCTGGGAGAAATGTGTACAAAGAAGTGGCGATTATGTGGAAAAATAAAGAAAGGTCTGTAGATTGAGGTGGTGTATCTGGTTTGTCAATAATAAAGGATGTTACTTTACAAAAAATTTTTGCTCATGACTTTCCTTACGACCCTCGTATGAGCCGATTATCTAGAAAATGTGAGAATCTCGACATCTCAGAATGGTATGATCCTCCACGGCCTGTTACAAGGATACCTTTACTTTTACTTTACTTTCACCCCCACATACATCTTGGTCTTCCCAGTGGTCTCTTTCCTTCTGGATTTTCCACCAATATCCTATATGCGTTCCATTCTTGCTACACACCCGGCCATCTCAATGAGGCTGCCGTATGTGAATAAAAACGTTTAAGGTGGCCTAACATATAAAAGGCTCAAACCATGTTTTAGCAGCTCCCAATAATAATTTATTGATGTTAATATCTATAAAGTAGACCTACTTTATTGTTTATGTATCATTAGAATTAATGGCATCAGCTTATGGAACCACTGCTCTGGTGCTTACGTTTCTATATATGTCGTTTAAATGTGAATGTATTCGGCATAGCATATTTAATTACGAGTAGGTTCACTAAGTTCACAGTCTTGTATGGCGCGTACTGAGTTGGGCTGCTTGTAACACTGATATCGCTGTTTTGAATCTGATCGGGGCATGGTTGTTGTGAGTCCTGAAGGAGGATGGTGTCAAAGGGTGGTGGAACAGCAGCAGAGGCATCCCCCCCCCTTAATTAAAATGGGAGAAACTATCATGCATTTTCAGTACTCAGACAGTAAGCCACCTTCTTTCCGTGTTCTGTGTCAGTGGGGAGTCTAGTGATGGGACCATTCCCCCATACGTGGAATCTTGCTAAGTGTCTAAAATTATCATACTTAAAGAAAGAGCTATGAATTGGAATATGGCAGAGGGTCCTAATCCATAACGTCCAATTAAGAAGAAATTGATCGAGCAGTTTGATTACAAGTTGCACCCTTGATCATGCAACCAGCACTACTCTCAATACCGATTATTTGCTTATTCCCTCGGCGTGGGCGAACTGATTTTGAATTGAGTGGTGCAACGGCATCGTAGCCAAAATGATTGGTGTTCGTTTCTTGCAGTTCTGGGTTGAGGAAAGTACTGAGAGATTGCAATGGGTGCATGCACATTTTATATTACGAGTATAAGAGGCATATTTTTCATAGGGGCTGTAACAGGCTTAGTTGTCATTTTTTTTTTGTTACTCTGTATATGTACTTGAATTTGATATTTTTACTGTGGGTAAATACTATAAATATTTTTGCGTTCCCATGTAGTAAAATTTTCACTTTAAGGGGCTCAAGGTTTGCTAATTGAGATACAGTGGTCTATCTGTTTCTAAGTTATTTAGCATCATGTGAATGGCAGGCATGTTGGGATTTGGAAGAAAGCAGTTGTGGCCTATTCCACAGTACTTTCCAACCTATAACAACTGAGGGAAACTGCAAAAAGTGTAGGTAAAAGCAGCTGGTAATTCGGATGACTTTCTAACTGGATATCTCGCAGATACAAGCCTGGAGCATTACGGCTGCTCCATCCAGTACAGTCAGTGGTCTAGGATAAATAGCGCATAATATATTTCTGTGTTTAATTAGGTGCACTTTATTCTTATACATCTTTTGCAGGTGAGGGAGCGGTTAAGGGTGGCATTGGAAAGGGTAGCCACATTAGAAGAGGACCTCACAACAACCAAAGATGAAGTGAGTTAATCCTGTTGAAGGTTCTGAGACGTTTCACTTTCTTAGTAATTTAATCAGTATAATAAAACCAAACCTTGAAATATGACTACAGTGTATGAGTTCCTTCCAGAAGGTTTGGAGACAGATCTAGGAACACACGTTGTAAGTTCTTATGCCCTGTTTGTATTTATTCTCCACTGGATAATACCTTGCAGCTGAATAATTCAATTCTAGCCTTCCTGCCACTTCAGGAAGTATGCCTAGAACTCATTAAATGCATGTTCTCACACTAAAACAGAATTTGAAATAGAGGTAAAAGCTGTGTTTGTCATTTGGCTTTGGTCGTTTTTACCTGATGGGTGGGCATATTTCATGAAAATTTAAATCGTCAGCATCATGCTTTTCATCTGTTCTCGTTACATGCTGTTCATGTAATCTTTATTATTTGATGTCCATGGCATGTTTTGCCATTTAGTTCATCTGTTTACCTGTTTATATGTTTATAGCTCTCTGTGCCTCATGGCTCACAATAGGGGTACAATGTATTCACCTGCATGTAAAGTTGAACATCACATTAAATTAATGGAAATTAAGTCTTTGTCACAGTGTTTAAACAGAAGTGTGTTCTTTGAATGCGTATGTTTCCAATTATATCCATATGAAACACTTATGCTCCAACTAATGTAGGAACGGCAGTGCAACATGTTTGGTTAGTGACATAGACCATTACTTCATCATTGAAAAGTTGCTAGATTGTATTCTGAACATTCTCCTGGTACTCATGTATCAGTGGGAAATTCACACATATTTACACAGAACTTTTCTTCCATCAGGTTGCCTATATGAGATTTGATGTACCATGGTTCATAGTGTAGATGGACTTTCGCAGAATAAAAATGGGCTGTTTTTAAGTAAAAAAAGTTTTGCCTGGCTGTATTACTGCTAATGCTTCATGCAATTAAAGAGTCATGACTTATATTAAAAGGGCTGTAATGTGTAAAGTTGTCCCTATGCTTAAGTAATTAAGTGTGTATCATATGGCCCTTGGGTCGACTCAGCTCTAACAGAAATGAGTAACAGGAATTAATTAAATAATTTTCCTGGTGAGTAAAGCATGGCCACCGCATAGGGCTGACAACCTTACCGCCATCTTTGAACCGATTCTCTAGATAATGTGGGACCCTCAACATATCACAACTCTATGGGCCTTCACAGCCTGTGACAGGGATAGCTTTACAGTACTTTACTTTTTTTTTTTTACCTTTTTACCATGGAAACATATGGAGGACATATTCTTGACCTCGGCACTGGGTGGAGGTGAGTCGTCAACTTTATGCCCAAGCCACTTTACCCACTCAGAAAGAGTCCCATGTACACATTAGGTAGGAGGCTGGATGGGCCCCAGAAACAGTCTGGACAGCTTGGTGAGGGAAAAATCTTGCCCCTACCAGGACTCAAACACTGACCCCTCGGCTGTCCAGGCCATAGCCAGTTGCTATACTGACTGTACTGTCCCGGCTCCCAAGTTGTAATGTAATAAGTGATATTGTTTCATATTGCTGGTCTTAAGTACGTATTATCCTTTCCTATTTCTTCATCATATGAAACAAATATAATGTTTAAAAAACTAAATTGAAATTACTAGTGTGGTGATGCTTCAATATCTTGGAACATGGAAGCATATAATTTGAATTAGGAAGTTGTAAACAGTGTAATTGTCTTTGTATTGAATGTAATGTTAATTCTGCATCATCCTGTTGTGTACGTGGATATGTATTTAAGTTACTTGTTTAGGCAGTCAACACAGCATATAATTTTTCACGGAGATGAATGTTCAGATTATAGACTCTGGTTTGTGACATCATGTAACATTTTGAGGAATCCTATGTATGTGAGTTACATCATTCCTTGCAACCAGCCTGACCAATTCATCACTATACACATTTCAACTCCGATCAAGTTTCATCATGAAGATTCATACCTTCTGGAGTATAATGCTATGTGGTCTGTTGAAAGTCAGCTGACCTTTTGGAGGAACGTATCAGTTCAATCTTCAGTGCTGAGAAATAATCCCACAGATTGCACAGCATTATTTCTCAGAACCACTGCTGTGAGATGCTGTGGGGAGAACCTCAGATTTTACAGGTTCCATCATATCATCTCTCAAGGATTATGTCTCAAGATCTACCCTGGCTTCATTCTAGCACACATCTTTTATATTTTCCTATTATCTTCATGATACAAAATGAAGGGTACTCCTTGTGTATGGTGGAATTCATTTTTTTGCATGTATTCATCCTTAGGAGCTGGGATAGCATGGTCAGAACAGCAACTGGCTACTGGCTGGACAACCGAGCATTCAGGGTTCGAGCCCCAGCCAGACCAGCTCTGGGGTCCACCCAACCTCCTAGCCAATGAGTACTAGGAGCTCTTTTCCCGGGGGTAAAGCAGCCAGGGTGTGAAGTTGACCACTCACCTCCAGCTAGAGCCAAGGTCAAGAAAATGTGGATCTATACATCCAATCCCCCATACGCCTTCATGACATAGTGCTTAATTAGTTAAGCACAGGGGCAACTTTACCTACCTGGTGGGGTCAAGAATTTTCTCTTCTCTACGTTGTCCAGACTGGCTCTGGGTTCCACCCAACCTCCTATCCAATGGGTTTTGGGGGCTCTTTCTTCGGGGGTAAAGCGGCCGGGACGTGAAGCTGACCACTCACTTCCAACTAGTGCCAAGGTCAAGAAAATGTGGATCTATACATCCACTCCCCCATACGCTTCATGTCATAGTGCTTACTTTAAGCACAAGGACAACTTTACCTTATGTATCCATCCTTGCATTAAAAGAAATATATTTATTTCTTCACTTATTTGTTCACTCAACAGCAAACCTGTTGAAATGCGCACTTCCATCGCGTCCAGTATTTTCAGTTCTGCAGACTCATATTAATTCTCTCTGATGTCAGAGTTTGTTGAAACAAATAGAACCATTCTCTTAATATAGTTTCGGGCTCTTGCAGTTACAACAGTACAAAATGGGCCGCATCATTCCATCGGGGGATGACATGGTGAGCAGCAAACTGAAAGAAAATGGTCAGCAGGATCCATCAGAGGACATGAAGACTGGAGACCAAGGCACAATACACACCCCATTACCTAAGGTAGCCTAGTTTCATGTGATTATCTGTGACTTCATATCACATCATGGCCTCCATGTTTTATTTAACAGGTGCAGGAATAACAAGAGGTAACTATAGCATATTGGCACGTTTGGTCACTGCTATGTGAAAGCTTCTGTAGTAGAGAAACTACGTAAGATGGCTACACAGTTAATTTTATTTTTTTAGTCAAGGAAGGTGCAGTTGTGATTTTGTTTCTGATATGAGTCAGAATGTATTTCTGTTCTTTCAGTCAAACGTTACCCACCCTCAAAGATCTGTTTTAAAAGAATACATTCTGAATATAAATTATACATTTGACAGAGTGTGGTACTGCAGATTCATTTTGTAAAGAACTATAGAAATGAAGTTGCTTCTTTGTAAACTGAAGTACTAGATTGTATTTATTTTGAAATATATAAATTTATGCCCTAAAGTGAAATAAAATAAAATTGTATTTTAGATACTTTATACAAATTAAGAAAATAAAGACGCATGAATGAAGTAACCTTACAAAACAAAATCTTGTAAAGGTATTGGTTACCTTTGTTCATATACTAATTCACCTTGACAGATACTTTAAATTTCCTACCAGTTATCATTACATCATTGCTGTGTACCCGTTAGTCATCTCTCCTGATGCATGTGCTGGTCCCTTGTAGTCGACATGATGTTGCAACCTTGACCCTCAGTTGGAGCTCCACTTTTAACCCACCACTTGGCTGGACTCAAAGAAATGTAATTTTATTAATTGCATTTTACTGTGAAACTTGCACTTATTTTCCTGCATATTTATATAATGCTCATCCAGTCCACTTGGTCACTTAATATGTTCTTACCATTGAAGAACTCTTAAGATATGAAATGAGATATTCAGAGTTTTGTAATTAAGTGCATCTTTCAGGGAGGTGATTGGTTTGACTGGTTATCGGATATGTTAGAGATTAAGACCATTTCTGCCTGTTTGCCATATGAGGCAGATCCTTATGTCCTTGTCATATGTCATACATTTTCAGTTACACTTGCAGTTTGCATGACGTGTATACTTGAAACCCCGAATTATTGATCTATTTCTCTTCCTTCCCCATTAATGGAAGCTGATTTTGCATTTGTTAAAATGTGTTGTGCATGAAAAGCTATGTATATGCAAGTTTGTTCCTGAATGTTTCCCTTAAGAATGTACATACTTATTTATGCTGTGTGAGAACTACAGTGAACAGTTATGCATCATGAAACTTATGTAGTTACTTACACTGTTTGCACTAAGGCACAGTCACATTTTAGTGTATTAATTTATTTTCATTCCTTACTAATTTTGAACTGATCGGTTAATAAGAAGATATAAAACTTTGTTAATAAGTAAATTAAAAATAAAACATATTTAGGACTTACATATAATTGGAAACCATGACAGTATCACTTACATTTAAAAGTCAGATTTTTAAATGTATAAACAACAAACATAACTCCTGGCTAAAACTAAAGGCATAAGAGCTACAACAGAAGTCTGACTTGTTGAACTTTCTAGGTACTCTTACACGTTTAGCCTTTGAGATACCTTTCAGAGACCTGGAAATGCACAGTTTATAGTAGGGCCGAAAGAGTTAAACTACGGTAGCAGAACACAAATGTTCAGCACCACTTATCCCAAAACCATTAGGCACAGTCCACTTTCATTCTCATGACACCTCCCTTCTTCCAAGTGGACATTGCTTCTTTGTTTTGCCACTAAATTTCTGTATCCATTCCTTGTTGCCTTCATCCTAGCCATATGCTCAAATCATTAAATAAGGTCATTAAATGACCTGTATGTGTAATATTTGACTGAATTTAATTTCATGTTCTCCATATTTCTTGTTTGAACTAAAGCATTTGATTGTAGGGACTAAGTCCAGATTTTTCTTTCAAAGTTCAGATTACAGTTCGTGTTGCTTTCCTGTGTCTCCTTATTATTACTTATTGCAGCAGTGATCGAAAGAGGAGGTTCAGTTCAGACACATAATTAGGACAGTATCACTTGATTTGACAGTTGGTTGAAATAGAAATTGTTTGCTACTGACATCAATTTTATACTCTCATTTTGTTTATTGTAAAATATTGGGCAATTTTTATAAATTATTGGAAGTCTGTCAGATTTTGTAAAGGTGAAATTTATTAACCATGTATCGAATATTTGGGTAGCGACCAAGAATGGAACACTAACTTCTACAAACATTTCTAGTATTCCTTAACACTTCTAAATGATGAGTAATGGGTGGAATAGCCTCATGTAAATAAAATACAATACATTTCTGACAGATTGACGAACTACGTAAATCATGTACACAGCATAATGTGACTTGCCAGTTGTGTTTTAATTTCTTTTTTCGTGAAATGTAGCAAATAAGGTTGTTATTATTATTGTTGTTTTCAAATAGAGGCAAGTGTGTGAACTTGGTTTAAGATCCATACATTATGTATTATTATTGCAGTATTTCTGATTATATTGATTTCTTTAATTACACAGTAGTACTTGTTTGTTCACTTTTTAAGTTTTTTTTTGTTATTGTGCGTGCCTGAGAGTGTTGTAATGAGTGTGACATTGTGCCTTGTTTCTTGCACGCAGCGTCTGTCTAATGGTGCCATCGAGCCTGACTCAGATGTGGCACGAGTCCTAGAGCTCCAGAACACAGTAGACAAGCAGGTGAGTCCCACACAACACAATAAAACTGGTAAAGTTTATAATTTTATTTATTTTGTGTTGTGTTGTATACAGTATGGATCAAAATCCAACAGCTGCATCGCCTCTTCTCGGCTTCATGATTAATAATATTAATTGACTTGTTATATTTGTAAATACAATTTTCATTTCATCTAATAGTGTACTTTGATGTATAATTTTATTCTGAGAATCCTTCAGGGTATACGTATATTAAAGTCAGTATACACACTTCTTCTTTTAATTACAGTGTAATTTGCATTACATTTAGTAAGTACACATTCACATTTCTGTAGCTTTATGCCTCCCTATTCAGCCAGCCAGCTACTTTATAACATGTCTCCCAGTGTTTCATGTGAAACACATGTTCAAAAATAGAATATACACATAATGCAGTTCTTGTTTCATTGAAGTTTCATTTTGTTTTTTCCTGTTCAACTTATTGTTATTATGCATAACATGTCAGTTTTCTACAGTGCTGTTAGTTATGACACTTAGCAAGAGATACATTGGTTAATGCAGGAAGTATGTGCTGCTATTGGAAAGTTCCCAAACTAGGTAAAAAAAGAAATGCAGGCTAAATTTACTCAATTTTATCTGCCATCTCCTTGGGAATGTATATGGCGATCCCATCGTTTTTAACACGCTTCAAAAGTACCGAGGAAGTTATATTCCTTAATGCTGTCGAGTACCGCTTGCGATTCACTTTAGATGGAAGACACTGTTTCAAAATGTCATCCCTTCAGTTTCATTTTCAATTTGGTTAACAGAGTGAAATCACAGGAGGCTAAGTCCGGTGAATAGGAAGGATGGGGAATGATAGTCATGTTGTTGTTCGTTACAAACTCTGTGGTTTTCAGGGACGTGTGGGCAGGCGCGTTTTCGTGATGAAGGAGCCCATTGTGGTTACACCAAAGTTCCAATCCTTTTCGTTGCACATTTTCTCTCATGCTTTTCAAAACGTTACAGTAAAAGTCAGAGCTGACCATAGTGTTAGAAGGAACAAATTCACAGTGAACAGTCCCTTTCACATCGAAAGAAACAGTGAGCATGCTCTTTGTGGAACTCTGGATCTGCTGCACCTTTTTTGCTCTTGGTGATTGTGGGCTCTTCCACTGCAATGATTGTTACATTGTTTCTGGATCATAACCGTAAATCCAACCTTTGTCACCCATTTTGATCTAGAGATAAAAGTTAGCCTCGTTAGCCTTCTCTTATAGATCAAGAGAGACATTTATGCACCACTGCTTTTGATCATTTGTCAAGAGTTGGGAAACAAACTTCACGGTATGTTAAAATTTTCTGTTAAGGTCTACTGTCAAACTCCATAACTGATCCAAACAGTGTCTGCGAGCTCATGGATTGATTATCAGTGGTCTTCGTGGATGAGTTCTTTAATTTTTTTGACATTTTCTGTCGTTTTGCCAGTGCTTGGTCTCACTGAATGTTCGTCATCTTCAACTGACACTCGAACAGCCTTCTTTCACCAAGGCCGTTACAACAGTAACAGTCAAGGAACTTTCTGATAGCAGAAGTTGGTAACTACCTTCATACCACAACTTCCTTTTAAATTTAGGATGAAAAGGAGCTGTGGCATGATCATAATAATGGCCCATTTATGCTTCTGTTTCTTGTAACTGGAGTGTGTACCTTTTTTTTTTATGGGAAGAATGCAAATTTCAGTATTATTGTCTTCCTCCTTAATAATGGTTATTTTTAGTGCAATAATAAATTGTTTTATTGAAATATATTATTTGAGCTTTATGTATAAACACATAACTTAATAAAGAAACTGGCAACATTTGTCCGTCAGCTGCAAGTTTGGTGTGTGCAAGTATCTGGAAATTAGAGTTATTGCAACATAAGGACAATAGAGTAATGGTGTTTGGAAGTAAGTATTTGTGACCAGTATTTACTGAAAAATGTGATTTTCATGGAATAGCAACATTATTTTTTTAAATGATTGTGATTAAAGTGGATTGTGCTAAATGGAGCATGCTACAACATAATGAGATTTTTTAGTTATATTATCTTAGGTGTTACTTTCTTTAGAAAGATCTCTGGTCTTGCAAAGTTCGTCAGAATTGATGTGTTATATGCATTTGCTGTGTCATTTCTCTTTCTCTAGCTCTCACTTGGTTACTTATGCATTGAATAAAGTAGTAGTGACTGACTGTGTGTTATTAATTATTTATCATGAACTAAGATTACAAAGAATGCATGTAGTCTTATACAGAATGGATATAAAGATGTATGTCAGAGAGTAAGTTAAATGGAAAAAATATTAAAACCTACAAACATCTGCTCTAAAGAATGTTTTCATGTTGAAGGTTGAGAAAGGAGTTTTTCATAGTTGCCATTTTTAGGTTAGTTGCATTACAAAAGAAACTCTAAGGATTGCTAAAACAGAGCAGCTTACAGAAGTGAAAGACAATTTATGAACACAAGTTGAAGAATATAACTATGCCAAAGATTCATAATTGTAAGGATGTCTTCTCTATAATTTCATGTTCGAAGCCTTATTTCTTACAAAATAGCTATATTGAAAACTGCAAAAAACTATGGACATATTTTATGTAAACTCATAAGATAATTAATTTCATTCCCTGTGCCTGATGAATGAAATGTTCTTCTAAGTGACATTTGAGTTATACCCCAGATATAATTTGTGGGGAAATTAGGGTTATGAGGTGCAGATGGAGCTTAAATATGGCTTCAACATAGTTTATGTAATATGGGAGATGAAATGGAACAGATTTTAATATTTTCAGAACTGAAATATTATTTTGAATCAAAATCGTGTGCACTGTACATCATAGCTGTTTTTTTTAATTGAATCTTTATTTTTGTACAAATCATTGTGTCTATTCTCTTCACTGGCAGTTACATACTGTGCATGCAAATGCTCATAGAATTGTGCTTCTGGTTGTAAAATTATGAAGTAAAGGTTTTATGCACAGTTTGATCATATAGAGGGGTCCAAAAAAATGTACTCACTCTTTGATAGTCAATATCTTTGGAACAAAATGACATGTAGTTACAATTCTTGCGCGGAGAGAGAGAGAGAGAGAGAGAGAGAGTCATTGTATGTGTTCGAAGTGACCACCATCAGCGGCTAAACACCATCGATGCCGCTGAACTGCTGAGTGAACTACGGCCGTCAGTGTGTCCAGTGTGATGGCTGCACACGACGCTTCGATGGTTTCTCTTAGCACATTCAGTGTGTCGATAAACTTCATCCTTCGCGGTTCCCCATAGGTAGAAGTCGAGAGGTGTTAGGTCTGGAGACCGTGGTAGGTACTCAATAGCACCTCTTTGACCTATCCCTCGTCCAGGTAGAGAGTCATCCAAGTACACCCTGACATCTCGATGGTAGTGATGTGAAGCACCATCTTGTTGTAGGTAAATTCTCACATCTCCAAACACTTTCGCGTGCACACTGATTCTCAGATTTTTGTGGTGATCATGTAAAGTGTTGCAACACCAAAGCACTGGAAGCTGGACTTGTTACTATCCGTGGTCATCCAGATCTTTGCTTATGCACATCATGAACAGTACCGTCGGCTTCAAATTTATCCTGAATACGGGCAATTGTTCGACGTGTTGTTGGCTGAGTTCCAAACTCATTCTGCCATTGTCATTGTACCTCTTTAATGTTTTCATACTTCCAGTACCACTTCAATACAGCCTTGCGTTGCTCAAGGAACAACATTTTAGCCATTTAGCACGCGGCACGACACTCATGTGACTCATGTGACCTGCGCGATCTGTTGAGAAAATTTACACTACACTACTGCGCAAGAATTGTAACTACATGTCATTTTGTTCCAAAGATATTGACTATCAAAGAGTGAGTACATTTTTTTGGACTCCCCTGTGTAATACAGTATATTCTTTTATTAAGTAAATAGATTCTGTGGTCCACAGTTTGAAGCTTCACCACATTCTGTATGAATAGCTTGTCATTCTAAGGGTCTTAACACACCACATACAAGGAGCATATGTAAGTTCCAAAGTGTAGTTGTATTTATACTGCGGAATGTGCTGATTGTGTTTTCGTCACATTATTTTTGTAAAAAGTAGTAATAGCCAGATTTTTCTAGCAGAAAGTGGGTTTATGTGTGTGCTCATGTGTGGGTAGGCAAACTTATGCTGTAACACTATTGTGATAAGCTCTTGCTTTAAGAGATCTGAGTTGTGTGCAGGTTTTAATCACAGGTGCTATCCTTGCAGTGAAGTTCCCTGTAACCAGAAGTGCTGCAGATATTCTTGACACATGATCTTCCAGTTGCCTTTCTAGTTCGGCTGCTCTTACACCCATCTAGCACACAATCTTCAGAACCAAGTTATATAATGACTGTTTCTATAGAGCCATTGTGTATTCAAATCTTGTCAAGCTGTAAGGCTTAATAACATTATGAATGTTTGCATCTGCAGTGATAGAAGTGCATGGTTTTCCAAGTCTTAAATTTTTCTTCACATTCAGAAGTCTCTTAAATCCTTGTTTGAATAAATGTAAGCATAGTCCCTTATATTTAACAATGAAGTTAAGTCATGAACAGTCTATACACTGCCTAAAATTTGCTGTTTTTTTTTTCTTTCTTTCTTTCTTTCTTTCTTTCTTTCTTACTTTCACTTTGTTCAGTTTTTATGCGAAAGTGTGTCTACCAGTGCTCAGGATTACAAATGTCAAAAATTCAGAATGTTCACAGTGCTTCCTAATGCATAAGTCTGTGTTCAGTTTGTTTTCTGTATATACAAAACATAATGTGCAGTTTCTAATATAGAATAGAAATTTGTGCCAACCAAGAAGCATACAGGACTTTTCTTCTCTTTTCTTTTTGTTATGAAAAATAATTGTAAATGCAAGAAAGTCTAGGCAATACCCATCCAGCCATTGAATGCCATCTGTTGATTGCATTTGTAATAATGTGCAAAGTATTGTGGATAATGAAACTGATGCTGACATTTGCTTCATCCAGAGAATTCGTCATTGAGGCTAATAATTTCTTCCTTTCACGTATTTCTGTACTATCTCTCTTAAGAATATATGGTTATTATATTGGTATTTTATATTCCTCATCTTCTTCTCTTTAAGCTTCAGTTTTATTTCATTGAATTTAGTTTTATATTAAGGTAATTCATAGAGAGATAGGATGGGGTGGCATGAACTGGAATGATCTGGCTCAGGATATTGACCAGTGGAGGGCTCTTGTGAGCACTGTAATGAACCTTCAGATTCAATAAAATGTTGGGAAATTCTTGAGTAGCTGCTCAACTGGCCACTTCCCATGAAGGGCTCAGCTCCAGTTGGTTAATTTTATTCCGCATTTTATTCCATTAGGTGTCAGTGTTGAAGGCTCATAACAAAATACTTAGTTAAGGAAATGAAGAGCAGTATATGAAATATGTGTGATAACAATGTCTGTAATTAGAAAATATTAAAAGTATTAATAAAAATCTCTCATTTACTATTAAAATATAGAGATATCTGAAGCTATATGTTATTACACAGTCAGGCTGTCTGAGCTGACCAATCTGTTTTCATATCATTTTATAAATTAGTGTGTGTGCTTTTTTTTTTGTCAGTTAATTTTCCTCAGCATTAAGGTTTTTTATGGGAGCTTGTTGTATCTGCCTACCTCTCCTGTTACAGTTAATATTGTTCAAATTAAATGGACAAACTTTCTGAAGAAAATGCTATACATCTGTGCAGGCTACAGAGCTGAGTACGTGGCAGAGACGAGTTTCGGAACTAACGGGTAGAATCTCAGAATTAGAGGAAGCTCTAGCCAAGACTCAGAAAGAGCTGCTCAAGGCACAGGAGGCCAACGCTAAATTGCAGCGGGATCTGCGTGAAAATGTGGCACAGAAAGAGGACCAGGTGCGATTATTTAATTTGATACTACTCTAGTCTGTATTTTCTTTTATATGGTGTTTTGTAAAACATGTATTAGGTATGAAATTTGCAGTAGCTGGAAGCACACACCATAAACACAAACTGTAAAGAAGCCCTTGTTCTTGCAGGGAGTTATACGCCAGTCATTCACCTCTGCCCTAGTCCCTAAGCGACTGGGTGATAATAAAAATTATGAATATTATCTATAACTTGCATTGACATTGGAGCTATAATTGTAATATAGTAAACAGCATATCCATATATGATATTTGTATTTTCTTGTGGTAGTTTTAATTTGCTCATGTCATGAATTATGAATATATTAATACTAGCATTTTGTGCAGACATTTTAGTCACTCTGAATAAATTACTGAAACTTAATTGTAGCTATTGTTTTACATGAGTGTGAAGCTTTTTCTCTCTCACCCTGAGGGATGAATATGGATTGAGGGTGTTATGATGTTTCTTGTACTGTATTATAAGTAGTCGATCTAGTCCCGACTATTTTTTTCTGTTCAGATGACATGTGATAACTCTTGAGGAATAACATGGCTTAGGTTTAGAGCTGTGTTGCTGCCCCTCCTGATATTCCTCCCAGCACTCTACTCCTGTCTCTCCTCCTCAGCTGTGGTATCAATTCACATGGAATTACATGATGATCTGAGGCGATTACAAGAAACCTCAGAAGTTAGTTCATTATTGATCAGAAATCTTCAGTCTTTCAATAAATTTACATTTAAAAAACATTAGAATACTGAGGTTTGGTAATGCTGTTATTAATAATATACAGCACTTTAAATTTGAAATGAAATGCATTGTATATGAATGTTCAAGTTAGGTTATTTAGAAAGATACTATTATTATAATTCACCCTCTTTCGCTTTTCCATAATCACAGTTGTCATTATCTGCTGAGTATGTGTAGCTGATTGTTTGTTCCTATAGGAGGAACGTATTGCTACCCTTGAGAAGAGGTACCTGAATGCACAGCGTGAGTCGACTTCTCTTCATGATCTAAACGAAAAGTTGGAGCAGGAACTCCAACACAAGGAAGCACAACTCAAGGTAGACACATGGATGTACAACATCATACTGTGGCTGTAACAGAAATAATCTTCTTATTTCTTTACACTTCATATAATAGGATTGATCAAAAATATCTTCCCAGTGACAAGTATAAACAAACTGTAAAGTCATTCTGGTATTTAGGTTTCCTTGACTGTGGCTTAATGTCTGGCTTCAACTTTCAGAATTCCACCACTTAGAATATCGAAAGTTTTCCATTTTGGCAAACTTTGCCCTTGCCATCTTTAGTATTAATGACTTGGGGGAGGGGTTGTGACTCCAGGCACCCCAACATCAAGTTCTCCATGAACATGGAAATGGATCAGATGTTACTGTTTTTGAGTGTCCTGGTTAGTAGATGCCTGGACAACTCCCTGGTGTATGCTGTCTGTAGAGAACCCACCCACACAGACAGATACTGAAGAAGACAAGCATTCACACAATCCAGAAACTGTTTAACAAAAGGCATCCCACTTCAGGTCCACCGGTGACAGACAACCCATAACTTGTAAAACCTGAGTTTACAAGATCCCTTGCATGCATGATTAAGTGTATGTTGGCTCAGTGGGTTGCCACTTGTCCAGTAGGATTTTGAGAACACATCAAAGACACCAGACTTAGAGAACCAGTGATCGGCAGTAGCCAAACATTGTGCGCATACAAAACACAGCATTGACTTTGACAACTCAGAGGTCATAGCCAACACCAGGCCCTACCATGCGTGCATTATCAGGGAAGCTGTCAAAATAAGACTGAATAAAGCTTGGCTTCACCCCCCCCCCTCAGAATTACCACTGAGCTATCTTACTGAACTCCCTTTCCTGTCCACACGGGAAGGGCGGAGAAGTAGAAGGAATGCTGGTGGTGGTGATGACAATGATGAGGATGATGACTGATGGCAATGGTGGTGGTGGTGATGATGATGGTGATGGTGATGATGGAAAACGAGAAAAGAAGAGATGAAAAACATCTTCCATCATCCCCTTTCGTAAATACAGGTTCACTGGGTGGGACATTTTTATTCACATCTCAGGACCACCTGGTCACCAAAACATTTTTTAATAATTTCCCTTCAAGTTTACCTACACTCCATAACATTTCCCATTACGTATTTTCACTAACAGTATGGTCCCTCCTTATTGGTTAGCATCGCAGTCTGCTGCTCATCCAGTCATAGCTTCATGTCTGACAATGCCTAATGCAAGCGCTATATAAGAATTGCCAGAACCCCCTGTAAAGTCATTAATCCTGAAGATGGTAACTCCAGTGATTTCTAAAACAGTGGAAAGCCTCCAACATTCTACATGGCATATTACTGAAAGTCAAAGACACATTAAACTCTAAATTGCCTGCAATAGAAGGCCCAAAGAATGCGGAGTTAAACATGAATTTAATGGTTCCAGAAATGGTGGGCTAGTTCTTGAGTGGTTCAGTGACTGTCCACTTCCAAAGATTTCTTCTGCTTGTAGATGGGTGATTGCTTGGATTTTTTAAGTGTTGAATTCAGGCAGTGTTCAAGAAATCTACTGCACGCGTTTGATAGGTATATTAACACAGGAATCAGAGAAAAGGGAGGGTTCCACATAGAGGAGAAGGAGGCTGTAGCCCAAGGAATCTGTAGTTGATTGACCTGTTAACAGCTGCAGGAGGAGAAGATCCGAGCAATCCAGGAGAAGCTAGAGCTCTCTGAACAGAAGTTGGCTCAGTTTGCTAAGCTGCCAGAGATGGAGGAGGAGCTAAAGCAGAGGATGGAGGCCCTTACGCAGGTGAGGGTGCAGGTACGCTACAGTGATGTCACAAGTCAATGTCGTCTGTCTTTGTCTATTTCCCCTTGTACAGCATGATTTGGCCCACTTATTATTTTATAATAGTCTAACTTAGCGCTGCATAAAAATTGTATAAGCACTTCAATTTCACGAGACATTAACATGTCATTATTGTTATTAAAATACTGTTATTCTTTGCTGCAAGAATACTTGTTACTGAAGTTGTGACACATTGTGCTTAATTCTTATATTTTACATTAATGTAGATAGATGACCTAATTTTTCTTCTTATGTCAGTATGCAGTTTTATTCATTAAAGTCGTTCGTAATCATATTTCTTGTTACATAAAGAAAAAATTAATTATTCTTAGAAAATAATGTAAAAAATTTGCTTCGCTTAGTGGGGGGTGGAGTCCAATTGGGTCCACTCAGCATGGCAGCCACGGATTGGCCTATTGTAGCCTGCCCCGGGTGATTATGATGATGGAGAATTTGGTGAATGAAGATTGGCAGGGGAAACCGAAGTACTCAGGGAAAACCCGCCTCAGCGCCACTTTGTCCACCACAAATCCCACTTGACCAGACCCGGGATCGAACCGGGGCCGCCGCGTTGGGAAGCCACTGACTAACCGCTTGAGCTATGGCGCGGCCTAGAAAATAATGTATTTATAACCTCTGTATGTAGTACTAGCATCCTTTTAATATTCTGTGCATGAGTTGATGTTTCACATTGGTAACATTATTGTTTACATTTCTGTGCATGCATTTAATTGCTGTTGATGTTCAGACAGTAGTAATTTTTGTGACCACCTTATATTTGATCAGTTATATCTTAGCAAGTACTGATTATTTAAATAAACCAGTGTGGTATATAAATACGAGGGTTGGAACTTTAATAGTGGTCACACTGCTGTAGAGACGCCATGCAACGGAAGCAAATAATGTCGCTTATACCACAATTTAGTTACATACCTACCTTACCTCAGAGCAAATGGACTCTTCCTTCCCACATCACACGCATGCGCAGTGACGAGAAGAACAGAGCCTCGTGTTAGCTGGCGGTCTAATGTAGTGTTGTCAGAATGTTTTCGAAAGAGGAACAATGGAGTTGGATAAAGATTGAATGTGCAAGAGGCTGTACAGCACGACAGTGTCATCAAGGTCTTCGAGAGGCTTGCAGGAAATCTGCATTGCCTTACAGAACAGTGGCAAAGCTAAGGTTTCGCTACATGTTTCAGCCACTAACGGCCATCATCAGGCAAACACATATTAACAAACATATACCATTGAACTGCTGTACATTAGATTGGATACAATGTTATTAATCATTTAAAATACTTTGCGTAAAAATACAATAAGTCAGATTATATAAAAACTAAAAGTTATTGTATAAAACAAGATAAAACTTAATTGATGTTATACAACATCGAATNAAACACCTGGGCATGAGAAAAATTTCATCACTATGGGTTCTGCATGATTTGACAGAAATGCAGAAATGGCTATGATATGACATTGCTCGTANTATAATTAATTGTATAGTTGGTGCCTCATCTTATGAAGAATTGTCCATGCTCTATGGAAAGTAAACAACAGTCGTTGGACTAATAGAATGCCATTGAAAGTCACATCAGTTGGTGGCATAGAATTATAGTATAGCAAACACACGAATACCATTCACTGTAATGTCTTAAATTTCTGTTGGTATTTTAGTATATCTATCATGCTTCCTCTTGCTGCCATTAATTTTGCACTGCTGGGTTTGTGTTGTAAGTCATTGAGAGTTTGGGTGTCTCTCTGATGTGACAGGCACAAGAACGGCATGGGTCAGCTGAGGATCGCATCCAAAGGTTAGAAGCTCAACTGGAAGAGAAGAATGCAGAATTGGTGCGACTCAATCAGAGGCTCAAGATGAATGAGGAGCACAACACAAGGCTATCCTCCACTGTCGACAAACTGCTGTCAGGTCAGGCACTCAGCACTTCAGGTCTTCTCTTTCCTTCTGAATACATTAACTCCTTTATTTATTAAGGAGACACTTTCATTAAAAGTAAGTGGTTAAACAAATGTCTGTATATTTCTTTTTAATTTTAAGAGAGTACTCAGAGATGTAGTGACCTGAGATAATATATAAAAATGCTGTCTTTCCATAAAAGGGTGCCAGCATTCCAAATTTAGATTTTTTATATTACAAGAGGGAACAACAATATAAATTGTGATTTAAAAACAGAGATATATATTTTCTGAGGGTGTATGCCAATTTGTAGGTTGCAGATGGTACAAAACATTGCTATGGCTGATAGACAGTTCACTTTGAATATGCTGTGTTAATCTGATTGAAGATATGATATGCTATCGAAAGTACCTGGACTGTTACTGCCTTAGTGAAAGAAGATGAGAGGGGGGGGCCAAGGTCACACTTCTGCAAGCCTATTGCATCAGTCTGCCATGTAACACCACACTGTGAACATGCATTTTTTTTACACAAGTGCTTTTTTCATTTTGTCTGCAGTAGATGGAAAAATTGATCAGCATGTGTGCATCAAGTTTTGCGTGAAGCTTGGTAAATACACTACCAAATAACTTTAAATGCTTTGTGAGTCTTTTGGAGAACATTCTTTAAATCAAACAGTGGTTTTTGAATGGCATACAGAATTCAAGGATCGTTGAATGTTGCTTGAAGATGACGAACGTTCAGGGTGACCAAGCGCTGACAAAACGACAGAAAATGTCGAAAAAAATTTGAGATCTCATCCACGAAGACCGTCACCAGACAATCATGAGCTCGCAGACACTGTTGGGATCAGTTTTGTAGTTTGCCAGGAGACCTTAACAGAAAATTTGAACATGCACTGCATTGCCACGAAGCTTGTTCCCCGACTCTTTGACAGAGGATCAAAAGCAGCGACGCATAAACGTGCATCTTGAGCTACGAGAGAAGACTAAGAAACACCAAAATTTTATCCCTAGGATCGTAAAGGGTGACAAAAGATTGATTTACTGTTATTATCCAGAAACAAAGCAGCAGGCCATCCTCAGGCCAGTTTTGGGTAATTTCAGTGTATATGTTTATTTTACTTTGCCTCAAATAAATTTCCATGTTTCCTCTTTCTAGAATCCAATGAGAGGTTACAGGTCCATCTGAAAGAAAGAATGCATGCATTAGAAGAAAAGAATGCTCTCACACAAGAACTTGAGAAGACAAGAAAAGTTGCAGAAGATTTGCAAGGGGAAAAGGTAAAAAAAAAATACATTTTTACAGTTTAATAAGACAATTTTGTATATAAATTTATTTGAATTATTAATTTTATTTCTTATATTTTGTATTGTTTCAGGGTGACATTGTCAAAGAGTTGGGCAAAGCAAGGCTAGAAATTGACAATGTTAAGCGGCAGATGTTGCAGCAAGAAATTGCCTTTAATATTCAACAGACTGATGCATTAACAAGGTTTGTCATTATAATTATAAGAGTATAATTATTGGAGCTAGTAGTAGCAGTAGTAGTAGTTAGTAGCAGCAGTGGCAGTGGTCATATCATCATCATAGTTGTAATTATCACCACCACCACCACCACCACCACCACCACCACTGCTGCTGCTGCTGCTGCTGCTTATTTTACTTGTGCTACAATCATTCCTACCCTGTGTCATTACATGTGTTTAATATCAAATAGAGGAGACCAGAGAGTCTCATTAGTTTGACAATGTTTTGAAAGAAGTGTTATGTGTATATTCCTGATAAAATCATTTTCAGTTTGTTGATGCACGCTTAGTTTTATTATTTTGATTTGTCCTGTCCAGCTTAAGCCTTCTGTTATATATACTTACTGTCTACCTCCAAAAGGTTGTAAGATGTTCCTTTCTTGCAGGAGCCTATCTCCAAATGCTGTGACAGATCCTAGCAGTTTTGTGCGGAGTTCAAGTCACACAAGTTTTGACACTCACTCTTTGCCACGTAGGCCGCAAAAAGGTAGAGTGTCAGCCTTGGAGGATGACCCCACTAAGGTACAGTATTGTCCTAAGTGCCTCATCATAGAGTTAACTTTTATAGGGATTATCATGTCTGATGCTGGAATTAAGGACCACCTCTGTGTTCTAGTGGTCAGAGTTCCTGGCTTCAAATCCAGAGGTCCAGATTCAATTCCCGGCTATACCAGATTTTTTCTGAGAAGTAGTGGGTCTGGAACGGGGTCCACTCAGCCTCATGATGATAATTGAAGAGCTATTTCAAGGAAATAGCAGCTCTGGTCTTGAAAACCGAAAATTAATGGCCGTGGGGATTCGTTGCGCTGACCAAGCGACACCCTTTATCCACTAAATTTGGCACTAAATTCGCCAACAAGCGGCAGTTGCTCGGTCAGTATAGTTCGCTTGTGGACTAAAATCATAGAGCTCACGGAGCTGGAATTAAGAATTTGTGGAGCATTAGTTCAACTCCCCCTTTGTGCCATCATGGTGTATACTTAGGCACAACAGTACTTTACCTCTGTCTTATAGGGAGGCTCTTACCTTTGTCGAAAATTGGTGGCTCTGTGCTCCATGGTGAGTGGTGCACTGCTGGCTGTGAAGCACATACAAATTTTGCCAATGAATCAGCATGCCTGATGGCTGTTGGCATTTGGAATTAGGGGAAGTTATTAACTTTGTGGACCGCTTGACAGCATTATGTTTCAAGGCGAATGGTTAATACATGGGAATTCCTTTATTATTAACCAGCAATGGGCATCAGTTATCAGCTCCATTAGCCATTTGTTCTCATTTACAGTTAGGGGGCAGTTTGTCCCATGATAGTGCAATATACTTTAGAACAACGTGTATCTCAGCATGACACCTACATGAAATACGGATCTGCTAGAAAGTGTCAGCAAAAATTACGACATAAATTTCATGATGAAAGAGTTCCCTGTAGACAAGACACAAAAACATAAGTGCCAAGTGCATACAGAGGAAACGTTAAATGACAGAATTGAACATACACCTAGAAAATCTCTGAAACATCTATTCAAGAGACTGGAGAGTCAGAGTCTAATGCAGGAAGGGCTGCTGAAGCTTACCCTATAAGACAAGAGTAATCCATGTCTTGCAGCTGTTCAATCCAGCTAGCAGAGTTCATTTTCGCAATTGGTTTGTACAGTCTATTGTCAAAGGTGAGATCAATCTGCAGTTGACATTCTTTTCTGATGAAACATGATTTCACTTGCAAGGATACACAAATATGCAAAATAATCACTACTGGAGTTCACAGAATCCACATCTAGCCATCTAACCCATGAATCCTACTCCATCCAGTGAAAGCTGATGTCCAGTGTGCTGTAAGTGCAAGAAGGATTGTTGAACCTGTGTTTTTTAATGAAACATTTAATTGCGAAAAATATATACAGGTCATTCTTTCCATAATTAACAGAAGAAAAAACACTCTATAGCTGGTTTCAGCAAGACTCAGGTACAGCTGACACTTCACGTATGTCTATGCAGGCTTTGTCCGATGTCTTCGGTGACAGAATTTTCAGCAGTGGTATTTGGCCATCACATTCACCTGATCTTACAGAGTTTACAACAGTAACCCCTGGATGGCAGATAAACTAGAAGAAAATGTTTTTAAGGAAATTGCAAATATTCATGCAGAGAAGTTTCAGAGGGTAAATCAAAACCTCTTCCGCTGGTGCATTGAATGTCTACATGTAGAGGGACACTATTTTCAACACCTCCTGTAATTTGTGAATTGTAACTACTTCGTTCCGAATGTTATTAGCCGGCAGGCATATTGATTCATTGGCAATATTCGTATGCCCCTTGCGGCATGTGGTGCACTGGTCACTGTGAAGCACAGAGCCATGAACCAGTCAACAGTCAACAAAAGTAAGAACCTCCATTCATCTGCCAGCTTGAAGTCTGTATTGTTAATTAGTGTGCAAAGACATTTTCAGTAAGTTCCATGACCAGACATTAATGCAAGGATAGGCAAAATATAGTCCATTGACTGGATTTATTCCATTATAAAAACTTGATAATCAGTGAAGGTTTATTAATGGCCAGGCTTTAATGCAAGGAGAAATAACTTGGATCTTCCAGACAATTGGAAGTCTTGATCTCATACTGGCTCTTGTTCAGAGAATTGTCAGATCTGGCTACACAATTTCCTGTGACACTTTCAGGAATGTGGACACTTAAGAGCCCCCCCCCCCCCCCTACTTGTGGTCTGGAATCACTGGTACCTTGAGTTCTGTCACATTAAATATTAAGCGACAACAGAATGAGGTTACAGAGCCAAGCAGTTTTAAGTTTATTACATAACAGTTACTTTTGCTTAGGGGAGAGAAAGGAAGAGAGGGAGTGTGTAAGGGGAAAGAAGTAATACTATGAAAAGTTAACAACTCCATCCAGTGTGACTGATAAAATGTTCTTTCTTTCTCTCCTTTTTAATCTTTCATTCTTGACATGTTTTGGTCTTAGAGACCATCTTCAGAAAGATATATCAATACGGGCGGAAACCGCTATTAACAATGCTTTTGATCAATATAAATACATACATACAATATCATTACAATGCCATGAATATAAAATCTGACCCTTTAACAACTACAGCGACGTGCATGAATACATTAAAATGTTTATGAATTAATACAATTAGTCTGTTTACAAGTCTGGTTTAAAAAGACTTTGTTAAAATTTATAATATTGCTAGCTTGATGGACCAGGATGAACCACATCAAAAAGAAAAGTAATTTTATGACTAAGCAACAAGTTAATTCAAGCAGTAATGATTTTAGCTTGTATTTGGGAAGTACCTGATTCAAATCTCAGCTTAGACATAAACCATGGTGATTGAGGTTTTTGTGGTTTTCCAGGTAAATGTCAGGATACTATCTTAAATAAGGCTACAACTGTTACCTTCCACATCCTTTCCAATGTGTTATTCATTATTATCCTATAAGTTAGTGCTGCATAGTCTGATTCACTGACACCATCATTAACCCTTCAGTTCCGTGCCCAGTGCCACGCATGCCAGCAGTTTCTGTCAAATGCCGCCGGGTTCGGTGCACTGTACGCTTAGTGTAGTGCTATGTTTCAGCTCCTGTTTTGAACTGTTGTTTTTCATGTAAAGTAATTATTTGGAATGAAATTAAAGAGGAAGTTTCTGGCTATTATTTTGTATATTCGTTGTCCCACTTTGAACTTCCTGTGGGAGTTGTAATACATTTGGATTCTTTGAAAAAGTTTCCTATTTCAACACTTGGTTGCCACAAGGAGCAAAGTGGCCAGCCATGTTGTGTCATGACCAGTGAAGAATATATATACTTCAAACCGAATCAGACAGTTTTATCAGATTCAGAGTTATACACTGAAAATGGGTGTTTTTGCTTTTCTCGATATGGTAAATGACAGAATTGAGAATAGCACAAGCATCCATTGGGAGAATATGCAAAAGTTTAAGGGACAAATAGAAAATTTCTGAATGCAATAATATGTAGGAATAACGCAAGGAAAAGAATAGCTCAGTTGGCAGACTTCAGTTAATTGAGGGACTCTGTGAAATATGCTAGTGTTGTAGAACACAAAGTGCTGGGTCGACATTCGTCTGACAAAACAGCGCCCCTTCTAAGAGAAACACATTTTATAAGCAAGATTCCACCAACTGCGAAGAAGTTAAAACCACAGTAACGGCGTGTTGTGTGTTAAAAATTGTGTACTGGTGTGACGCGTGGGACATAGGACCCTGTGTGGAATGTTTTCACGACCAACACACCCAGCTGAACTTCTAAGGTATTGTCACATGTTGGGTATATGCCACGCGACAAGTAACTTCACGCTGTATTTGATATAGCAAATTTACTGCACATTTGCTCCACACTTATACAATTCGCAGTTATACAATCTTAGTCTTATACAATTCAGTATCTCAATTGCTGTTCAACTACATCTTGGCAAATCCATTTAGCTGTCTCTGGCGGTGGCTAGCCTGCAACTGTCTGGTTACTCACTCTCTGGTAACTGGCTCAGTACTCACTCACTAATCACATACTACTGACTAGTGTTCGCTGCTCCTTATTTAGCCTCGGCACGGACAACACAGAAAACAGTGACGTGATAGGTACCACTGTTACGTGACACCATGTTTACAGGTTGCCTAGCAACACTGTCAAGAGTTGTTTACTGCTGTGTAGTAACCGCGGCAGTGGTTGCCTAACACAGTTGCTCTTCCGTTACGTCACTGTGGGGAGGGGGTGTTTACCGAGGGTTGCGTACTGATGGAAGGAGTGGGGGTATGTGACGTCACTCGCGAGACCACAGAGTTCACGTGACCCCTACTTCCCGTTGCACCATCAACGTCACAGTATTATGATACTGTCATTCATAATTTTATAGGCTTACTGTGCCAAAAAATAATTTTAAAGCAGTATGGATCAATACACCGATTCTATACACATTTCTGAACGTAGTGTGAAAATTAGAAAAACAGAACTTCATTTTTTCCCAATTTATTACACTTTAAGTGAAATGTTGCACTCTCTGATTTAAATATTTAAATATCCTCCGGCAGAGGAGTTGAGTAGGAATTTAAATGACCGCTGGTGTTGAAGGGTTAAGTTACAGATCCAAACTGAATTGTTATCACTGGGAAATATTGCCAGATATGAACAGCATGAACCATCTGTCATTTTCATTTATTTCATTTTCATTGCTTTCAAGTAGTGAGAATACTTTCTGTAGTTATGTTTAATTATAGTAATTGATGACTGCCTCTGTGGTTCCCGGCTACAGATCTAGAGGTTCCAGGTTGGATTCCTGTCACTGCCAGATTTTCTGAGAAGTACTGGGTCTGGAATGGGGTTCACTCATCCTTATGAGGATAATTGAGGAGCTATTTCAAGGAAATAGTGGCTCTGGTCTAGAAAACTTAGATTAACAGCCATGGGGATTTGTTGCGCTGACCACACTACATCATATATCCTCAAAAGTTGGCACTAACTCCGCCGACAAGCGGTGGTCGATCGGTTGGTATTGTTCGCTTGTGGACTACAGACCAAGGAGTTTTTTTTTTTTATATGGTTGTGTATGTGAAACTAGTTTCCCAAGTGACAAATTGTAATTTCAGATAATTTAGATGCCCAGTAGTTGCTTTCCTAATTATGTCTCTTAATGTCTGAATATCTTCACTGGCAGAAGGATCTTCCAGCTGGTTGTGTTCAGAGCACTACCATGTGTTGCAGATACGCACACTGGGGGAACAGGAGTGGGAGAAGATGCAACAGGCACACGTTTTGGCTAATGTTCAGCAAGCATTTGATGTATCAAGTGATGCTGAAGGCGAAGACAACGAGAGTATCTTTAGTGCAGCAGAGATGCTCTCCCCATCTGGTCACACCGATGCTCAGACCTTGGCCATGATGCTGCAGGAACAGCTAGATGCCATCAACAATGAAATCAGGTGAACAAAACATTTTGTTTCATACCTGTGAATTATTTACTCAGATTTCAGTAAAATAGCAAGTAAGGCAGACATAAGCCTCCTTTTATTTTTCCTAAGTAAGGCAAGCAGGCTAAAAATGATATGATGTATGCTGTGATTCTTCTAAATTTACCCTTAATTTTTAGCTCAAGAAGAAACTGCACGTTTATGACTACTCAGTGTTCAGGATCTTACTTAATTTTACACATTTGTCAGGTTGATACAGGAGGAGAAGCAAAGCACAGAAGCTCGTGCAGAGGAGCTGGAGTCTCGGGTTGGCAGTTTGGAGCACATGAACCTGCTGGTACGGGGAAGAAGCTTCGAACGGTCATCTCCACCTCTCAGTGGCCGCTCCACTCCCAAGTCACATCTTTCTCCCCAGAGAGATTACCTTCATAAATACCACACTGTAAGTAGCTTTCATCCAGTTCTTTTCCTTGCAGCTGTTGCTTTGAACTTTCCCCAGTTGACTTGATATAATTTCACCTTCCATTATGCACTTACTGCACCTTTACTTTTATCAGTGTTGGTATTGCTGGTGTGAATTGACTGATTGGTTGATTGAATGTGGTCATAAAAAACACCAATGTGCCTTACTGTATTAGCATATTTAACAGGGCATTACATAATTATAATTACTAACATAGGAAGTTGAAGTTAACCATGTTGAAACATGTATTGCAGCTGTGTTCACAGAATAGAAATGTTAACTTCTCTGGCAAGAAATCTGTTGCATGTAATCAGTGCATTCCCGTTTTTGAACACAATCTTCTGTGTACTGTTATGTATTTATTCAGACCTCATGTAGTGCAGTTACAAAGTTATTTCGAAAGATATTCTGTTTGTTTCTGTCAAAATTTAAGTGATAAGTGTACCTTCTGGTGTGCACTCCCTCACTGGTGATTTTATTATTTTAACTACTGTACAGAATGAGATTTCTAAATTTTATAGTGTACTGTATATTATTAAATTGTAATCATTTATTGTTTAACACTTTTTGTAAATTATATGAGATTTGTCGTGTTCATGATGTTGAAAATTTAAACTGTACTCTTTGGTTATGACATTATATAGGGTGCCAGGTGAATAGCAGTATTTTTCTTTTATTAACTTGGTTTCAGTTTATTACTTTCTTTATTTCTAGACCCCCTATACGCTTTCATAACTTGTTTAACTCTTACACTGCTGCGATCGACAGAACCCGTATTGTGACTTTAAAGTTTCAAATCTCAGGTTTCTTTACACCAATCTCATTCACACTTGGCGGATGAATAGAGTCATCTGTTGGGAACATAATGAAGCACTACTCATTTCAATGGCTGCATTCTTCTGCCCTCTAGCTTAAGAAATGTAAAAGGTTGCATTTGCACAGCGAGGCACGCGCTCTGTGGTCATGTGACGCAGGTATTTCACAGGGCTAGTAAAAATGGCTTCGTATGGTGTGCAGTGCTTTCTATAATAGTTTTAAATAAAGTTGTGGATTTTTGGTCAACATGTGACATAGTAATAAGACTAGGATAGTGAGTTATGTACTTTTTTGGCCATCTTGGACAACCCTGATTTCCCCAGTGAAAAATACTGAATAATTCAACATTTTTGCAACTTCTGCTACCTGTTCCCTGTCTGAGGGTAAGATTAGTTACATTTTATTACAAATTTTTATACTTTGCACTTAAATTATTTATAAAAGATTTATTCAAAGATAATTGAGCACAGTGGGTACTGAAAGTTACTTAACATACTAGCAGTGAAAGGGTTAAACACAAGGATAACTTTATCTTCTTCTTTGTTATGTAATTTATATATATTGATCTCTGTGGTCATGAGCTGGAATAGGACAGTGAGTATAGTGGTTATGCTGCTGGCTGGATGGCTGAGGAATCAGGTTTCAATTCCTAGCAGGGGCAAGAGATTTTCCTCTTCTCTGCAGCATCCAGATCATCTCTGGGGGTCCAGTGAGGAACTGGAGCTCAGTTCCCAGCAAAATCTAGAATTTTTTTTTCTTCTCCATGGTCTCTGTACAAGCTCTGGAGCCTGTCAAGCCTTCTGTCTAATGGGTACTGGGTATTGAGATTGTTTCCCCAGAGTAAAGCAACTTGGATATGTAACTGACCATTCACTTCCATCTAGTGTCAAGTTTAAGTAGAGATGGAACTGTATTTCCCCTCCCCCATGCATCTTCATAGCATAGTGCTTAAACACAAAGCCACATTTACTTTACCAACTCCATGATTTGGATATTTCTTAGAAGTGTCTTCAGGTATGTTCAACTTTGTCAGAAGCAGTGACAGAACATGGCTACTGAAGCAGGCAAGATGACTGAAAATTCAAATACGGTGATAATTATATATTACATAATGATGACACATGTAGTATGTAATCCCTTTCTTATATCCAGTTCAGTTCTTTGATTCTGAGTAGTGAGAGAACCATTTTACACATCGGTAATACGCCTAGCCACTGGTGGCATATGAACCTCTGTATACAAGTTTATGTGTTCGTGTGCACACGGAGCTAAATCCTGAAACATTTGTGAATAAATTAAATGTAAATTTTTTATAAGGGAAACATCTCAGAAGGGTGTACCAAAAGCTGACTTTTGAGCCTCAGCAGATTTTTAGTCAGTTATGTTGGCAATGAATATGTGTGCATGAGATGGAGTGTTCTTAAAGTAACTATTGAAATCAGAAGGATCTCTAATATTTTCTGTTTTTAACATTAGTAGCACACTGTAAAATTTTCATAATCACCTCTTTATTTTGAATGTAAATGTATAAAAAATTATTGACTTCAAAGTACATGGGCTTAAAATGTCAAAACTGCTGATAATATGTTAGTTCTGTATGCAGTGAACTGTGTTACTCTCAGTGTACTCATGCATCTTGGTCACAAGTAGTGCAGCAAGTACACATATGTTGCATCTTGTTTATGCTAGTTTTGACATACAACACAGGGTAAACACAACAGAATGTGGCAGGACACCCCTACAAAATGATTAAGTAAAAGAAAGTTATATGATCAAAACAAAGTATTCATAATGATGGGGCTCCCGCAATAGTGAACGAAGAAGAGCTGATGTTTGTTTGCTGTTAAAAGTTTTGGTTTGCACACTATAGTAGTCATATAGTTTTTCAGAATTTGGCAGTTTAACATCTGTAAGAAGACAGTATATGAATATAATTTATTTATTTTACATTGACAGAAATATGTAAGCAATATTAAAAAGCATTGATACTTTTTTATAACGTGAAGTATTTGATATTGTTAATTTATATTTTGCAACAGCCATTAAAATTGTCCGGTTTATTTATTTTTACCGTAATAGATTTTTCCTTTTCTTCTCCCTTACTAATGCCTTATTTCTTTGGGGTTACTTTGTGGTCAATGAAAATATGTTCACTAGTTATGTGTTCTATGCTCTTTTAGTTCTATTTCTTAGTACATGAGTGTTGTTAGGGCTGAATGAGGTCAAGTGGGGCCGTGTTCAAAGCTTTTTGGGTCGGTAGCAGCCATGGCTTGCCTGGCTGTCAGAAGGTTATGTGGACAGAAATTAACTTGAAGAGGCCATCAGTACAATTTTCTGTTGTGTATGGCCAGAGAGTGATTAGAGTTACCAGTATTAACTAAAAGAGTGCTTATAAAAGTGAAATTTCCCAGCATGGGGCATATTGTGTACAGAGTAAAGTGTGAGAACATGGTGTTCTTTCTTTGGGCTGCTGTGGGAGACTGGATGAAAAATATGGAAAATGGTTTCAGAAACAGTGAGAGTAGTGGATGCAGTTAAGTTATCTTGGCTCACCTCTCTCCCTCCAAATGAACCTGCTTGAGATTTTTGAGGAGGCTGCATGTCACATTGCTGAGTGTGATGAACTCTTTTGCAGTTCATTTTGGACTCTTTCATTGATATCTGATGTGTCCATTGAACATCCAGGGCCAACAGAATTGTTCATTACAGTGCCATGAATATTAAAATCATCAAGCCACATTAAAACTGTATTATGTGAAGGAATTCTGCCTGTCTTGGGACACAAAACTTAAGCTGAAAACATATTTACAGCTGCATTGTTGATTTAGTTTCAGAATACATTATCATTGCTAACACATGTTGATTCACTAGCCAGTTCTCTGTGGCAACTAAACTCCACATAGAAGAGTATGTGTGTGCAACAGCCAGCCCATCCACACTAACCAATCTCCCATAGCAATAATATGAAAACTGCCATGTCCTCGCACCCCACTCTGTATAGTTGTGTATCTAATGGCAGGGCTACCCAACCATTTATCCGTTTTTCTGTGGTACTTGTAGATGGCTTACTGGGTGCACGAGCATGTAAGATACCCAGATCATATGCATTTAAAAATTCAACTTACTAATGTTGAAGTATTTGGATGCTGTTCCAGTATCACAGTATTTGTTCGAAAAATTAGTTTTTCTTGGCATTCTGAAGAATTTCCACTCAATAAAAGTGACATTAGTTATATTTATATATATATGATAGAAGTTATGTATTACACTGGTATATATATCTTTAAATAATACATCATAATATTAAAATCTTCAAAGCCAGCTGTTATATAACTTCATGACAGCTCTCCAGTTTTTTTCTTTTTTTAATCTCTTATATTGACTGCTTACCCCAGGAAGATTGGGAACCCCTGCCTTAGATAAGGAGATAGAGACATGTGTTATTGGATACATTTAATTCAAGTTTGCTATTACTTCTTAACTGAAAGTTCACCATTTTCATTCTGAGGGGTGTTTCTTTGTGAAAGCAGCTGTAACTCTGGCTCTGGGTGTTGTGGTGACAGCAGGTATGTTTTTCTAGGCCCCTGCCTCTATGTCTCCGGCCCACCTGCATCAGTATGCCTCCACCTTGAGCCCAGGCCAACTATCCGAGTCACTGCCCGCTAGCCAGGTTCGTATAGGTTACCAGGGCACGGCTGACCAGTGGCCAGGCATGGGGATATTCCCTACTTCAGTTTATCTACCCCATTCCTTCCTCTGGCATCTCTTTCCATAGTCCCCATGGAGTTAAGTAATGTAATAGAAACCCATGTCATCAGGTATTTGTACACATTTCTTCTTCTTCATTGTCACTTGCACATGTATTATGTAGGAGGTGAGTTTGATTAATAAGAGAGACTCAAGATAGAATGGCGTTGAGGGGTGATTATTTCTCACCACTAAATTACTGGCATAGGTAGCAACTCTTAGATTCACTTCAGATTAGTGACTGAATTTTTTGGAGGAGTGGCTGTAGACTTGTTTCTTGGTTCTTGGGTGAAGAAGTTTAGAAAACTTGTATCAGAAGCTATTGAAGTTATTGCTTTGTGTTGTACTGTTGGCATTAATTTTTTGGTCTTTATCACCTTCTGAGGGTTTAATGAATAATTTCATTTCAGTTTCTGATGCCCATAATTAGATATAGCTCATCAAACAGCATCGACCAAATTGTCATGCAGATAATGTGATCCAAAGTCAAAACAGAATGTTACACATGTAAAGCAAAGTATTGTCAGGAACCCATATGTTGCATGTAACCACCGTAAGTTAAGAATGATTTAGATTTCATTATCTTCACCTTACACAAAGCAAAAGCAAGGAAACAGTCACAAGATTGGCATACTTCAAGTCAGTTTTTCACATCTCTTAAGATAATTTCAATCCTGTTTGCTTTACTGATTAGTCAGTACATCAGTATACATAAGAGTGTTTAGCTGAAGTAATTAAAGTTATAAGGTAAGTCATGATAAAATACTGAATGATGTACTGTCTATCAATATGAAAGATCTGAAGGAAGTGGGGGCTTTATGGAGCAAAAATAGAACCGCGTGACCTTACTACAGACACGGTGTACAGAAGATAAAGAGAAACATGGTGTGCTGTATGAAATTTGAAAAAGGATGAAAACTCCTTTCATGCTGATTAGCATTACCTCACCCTTTCCGTGTTGTTGTGAATCTGTAACCTATTGGTTTATGTAAAAACTACTGTGAAGTATGCTGCTTCTGAAAGATAGTGCCGGTCACAAGTCCACAGCACAAAATGCTTAGCTGACAGTTGACTCTGCATCATAAATGTACAAATCTTTTCATTTATATATGCTTCAAGCATATAAGTAAATAAATGACCAGAGAAGTAATCCAAAAAGCTGTTTGGGTGTTTCTTTCTTATGGATTTATTTTATATCTTAAATGGTATGTACAGTTATTCATGTTCATAAATAAACATTTGTGTTAAATATTCTTAAGCAATTGCAGTGAAAAGTATTTTGTGTGGTGGAGAGTTGCCCTTCTCCCAGTAGATGTAGACAGAATGGTTCCTGCCTGCCCCACCTTGCTTGAAAGAGTGAAAAGTGACTTTCTCTGATCTTGTCTGCAGCCTGCTCTGTCTCACTGTTCTGTCTTTAGTTGTTCTCACTGCAATATGACTATTTCCACTCTTGTGTTTGATCCTTTGCACCCTGTACATTGGCATGCTTTGTGATTTCTGAGGAGAAGCACAACTTAGACTTAATGTTTGACCTAGGTCTAGAGTATTGTGTACATTTATTTAGTGACCTTGGGAGTGATACTGAATTCATCTGTTACAAGAACTTCACCCAGTTTTGTCTTTGGAAAACTAAAACTTTGTGTTACCTATAAGTATATTCCCAGTAGGTGTTACAGCCATTTTCCTTGTTAGTTACAGATTTAATATGTAGCTTTCCAAGACAGTGTTAATAGCCAACTGAAATCTTCATTTTCAGCTCAGTAGCTGTTGCCAGTCTGCTAGAATGAAAGTTTATTCACAATGCAGATATTAATCATGTGATTAAAATGCATGAATGTTTAACATTAAAGTTCTGCAGTGGTGACCTAAATATATAACATTATGTGTTGGTAACTTTTATACATGACAACTGTGTTTGTGTTTAGTGATCAAGTGTGATGATGTGTTACATCTAGAAGACATTCCATGTTGCTGTTGTTTAAACACAAGTTGTCATTACCCTGGATATATTCAGATGTAACCTTAATTTCTTAAAAATATGTTGAGTTTTATTAGGGCTCGCCTTGTGTAACTTTCTTCTACCCTGAAAATGGAGACAGCTCAAAACACTGGTACACATCTGTCAGACTTCACATCACATCCCAAAAGAACATAATGTTAATATTCACTGCCATGAGGCCCTCAGATCAAATAATTAGGATTTTCAGATGAGGGAGGAGGAGGTGGGTCTGTGTAGTGCCTGTTGGAGTAGCGTACAGAATTTTAGTTAGGAAACTTGAAGGGAAGAGACCATTTAGGAGATCTAGGCATAAATGGGAGGATAATATTGAAGTGGATCTTAAATAAATAGGATGTGAACTAGATTCATTTCACTCAGGATAGGATTCATTGATGATCTGTCATGGACATGGTAAATACATCTTTGGTTTCCATAAAAGTTGAGGGAATTTCTGAAACAGCCATGTGGGGATCAGCTGCTTCATGGAGTTAGTTATCTGTTTGGTATTCTGTTGCCATACTGTGTTTTGTACTTGTACTTTTCATGGAAGACTGCATCATCCAAATTTTCTAAGGTAGTCATGGTGATCTCGGGTCTAGAAAACCGAGATTAACGGCCGTGGGGATTTGTTGCACTGACCACGCGACACGCTCTATCCGTAAAAGTTGGCATTAACTTGGCTGACAAGCAGCGGTCGCTCGATCGGTATAGTTCACTTGCGGACTAAAAGTTAACCATGGTGATACGGTTTGAGAAACCAAGCACTGCATGTAAATTACATAATTGTATCATGAGCACAGAATTTTCAGCTGCCTTCTGATTTGATGATAATGGCTTTTAGCATCAGTGTTCACTTTTCTAATCAACTTCCTTCAGCACCCTGCCTTCAAGCTCAATTCACTGCCTAAATTTCTGAGCTTGTGTCCCCCTTCATTAATAAGCGCTTCTGATGTAAAGTATAAATGTCTAATATGTAACAGAATCTCAGTTATACAGAAGATAACAGTTCTGAGGTTTGAAGTTCTTTGATTGACTTGGCTCATTCTCTTTATAATTATCCCTTTGTCTACTGTTCCTCCTTTCCTCAGGTACTACTTCACTTCTTCCTCTACTCTATTTCCTCACTTCAGTGGCTTTCAACCCTTTCTTACTGCTGTTTTTGCTTTTATTTCTTTGATTCTTTGTAACCTCAGCTTTCTTTCATACTGTAGTTTCTGAACCTCTTCTGACAGTGTCGCCATTGCAGCATACATAATGCTTTTATATGTTACTATATCAGAGCTTTGTAGTACTGTGAATTAATTTGATAAATATTTTTATTTAATTATTTATAAATGCTTTGGTATATGTGAATTTATATGTTTCATACACACCTGTTATCCTTGTATCTTGTAGTGATTTCTAGAATGAATATGTAAAATACAGTGAAATCTGTCACAGTAATGGATATTAGGTGTACTGTATGTTGACTGCCAGTTCGAGAGATGTTTTACTCGTAGCTTCAAGACAAAGATGCAGTTTTAGTCACCTAACAATACATGTTGGATCTGAAGTTCTGATAGCCACAACTATAATGTTGTAATGCCATGTAGTTCAGTAGAAGTCCACTGACATTTCAGAGGAACATTGGAAAACTTCTACCAAGCTACATGACATTACAACCCAGAAAACTGTGCTTTCAGTCTGCAATGAGAGTTTGGGAATATGGACTGCACTCATCTGGATCAGGGTATGGGCCAGTGATGGGCTTCCAAGAACACAACAATGAAATTTCAGGTTCCATAAAAGGCAGGAGATTTTTTGAATACCTAGGTGACTATTGTCTTCTCAAAGACTCGTTTATGGAGTCCTGAGTTCAGTCCCATTTGAGGTTTGTTGTTGATAGAATGGCACTTGGGCAGGCTTTTCTCTTAGCAGTTTGGTTTTACCATGCTGATGGTTCCATCAGTGCTCCATACTCAAGTATCATCAGTGGCTGGTTCAATAGGCATATTTGAAGCTCCAATACTATCCCACTCCTACAATTAGTAACTCACACACTCATGGATCGTATATAGCATCTTATATTGCCTCTGGGTAGAACCCAGTGGTGGACTGTTTCAGACCTTCAGCTTCTGTAATATGTGGAGAATATATTGACCAATTGAGCGACTGTCAACTTCTCGAGAAGGACTCTGTTCCATGAGTTAATTGTTTAAACTTCTGATTTAGTGAAAATGGAGTACCTGAAGTCATTAATGTAGGATTGTAAATAGAAGGTGACTGTGCAGAGATTTAATTAGAACATGCCACACTGTTTGCACGAAGGCAGTATTGCTTTTGATACAGATTGTTATACATCTCTAGTAGAAGGTGAAAGCACTCATGTCATTACAGCATGTGTGGAACATTGAAGTAAGGTTACCTAAAGTTTTCAGATAGTGGCAATGACTGGAGCTCCTGACCTGAACTGTCTTTACCCCTAGCTGACGGATAGGTTGGGAGGGATTTAATGCAATTAGATATACTAGAGAATAGTTAAATACCAATACTCTTTTGTGATTCAGACCCATGTCATTCACTTTATAATTCTGTGATTGATTTACCAGTTTAAAAATAGGTAGTTTATCTTTCAAAACATTTTGAGTTTGAACTGTTGATAAATAGAGAAATTTTCTTTGGTTTATGATTGTAACATGTTTCTTGAAATTATCAAATATAGATATGCTGTGGACAAAACCTGTTTAGATGTGAATTCCGCAGCTAAAAGTAATATTCTAAATAATATAATAATTAAAATAATATGAGTTCACATCTGAGTCTTCCCTTTGTGCAACACAGTGTATTACATCCAGATTTGTGATATACAGTTAATTAGTTTCTGACTTTGCGTGCAATTATTGAGTTGCAGTTCATTTGGTCATGAATTTTGGATTAATGACAAGTTAAGAATTTATCTCAACAGTGGATGAGGGTAAGTTTGATATCCCTTAATATAAGGCATCAACACCATAAGAGAAGTATAATATCAGCTTTTTTATTATTATCATTTTAATACATAAAAATTAAAGTCAACTATTGTTGCACATTGACACTGGTGAGAGATTTCACTGTACAAAAACAAAACAGCTTGTAGTCTTATTTCACAATGTAGACATGATTTTTTTTTTGTAATATGAGGTGGCTTCCATGGGACACTTACTAAAATGAATTATGTGAAGTTGCCAGAAGGTTATAAATGTATAATTTCTGTATGCAGCTTCAGTTGGCACCTCTGTCAGCAGAGCTTTCAAAGGAAGAACTTCATTCTGTTACAACTGGAGGTGAAAGCAGTGGTGCAGCTAGTCCTCTAACTGCAAGATCACTCAGGCTAGAGAGGGTCGCTCAAGCATTAGCACAAAGCCAGGAGGAACTTCGCAGGTAATCTACATTAATCCTGAAACACTCCATTGAGCAAGAAAACTGAGGAAAATTCACTTCTGGTAATGAAAAGTGGAGTGTTAGAAGTGGATGAGGTTTCAGTATTGCATGATTACAGAAACTGCAATTTGGGAACATTTTGAATAGGAGCTTTTATCTTGTATTGCAAATGCTCATAAAGAACACAGTTGTGTATGTTCATTATAGAAGTGGCAACTTTCACACAGATGATTCACGCTTAACTTTAAATATGTCTTCAAGAGTTTTAATATCGCATCAGTGTTCTTTTTTTTCAGTCTTTAACTGCAGTACTGATAATGGCTTATATTTGTGACATGCCATAAATGGAAAGTCAAGAGAATTGCATTAGTTGGTAGTAAACAAACCAAACCAAAAATTAAAATGTATAGTTTTTAATTAGTGGACCACCTCTGTTGTCTAGTGGTCAGCGTTCCTGGCTACAGATCCAGAGGTCCTGGTTCGATTTCCGGCACTGCCAGATTTTTCTGAGAAGTAATCGGTCTGGAACAGAGTCGGTTCAGCCTCGTGATGATAATTGAGGAGCTATTTGAAGGAATTAATGGCTCCAGTCTAGAAAGCCGGAATTAATGACTGTGGGGATTTGTTGCGCTGACCATGCAACACCCTCTATCTGCTAAAAAGTTGGCACTAAAGTTCGCCGACAAGCAGCGGTCGCTCAGTCGGTATAGTTCACTTGCAGACTAAAATCACCAAGTTTTTTTTTTTTTCTGTTGTGTAGTTTCCTAGATAGGAAGTAGACTGGATGGCTATGATTTACTGCTATCTAATGGTGGTAGAATAATAATAATAATAATAACAACAACAATAACCTCCTTTGGTTCAGTAGTTTTGATACCAAGACTCATTATCTGGTATGAACTAGCTGTTCTCAGTCATTCTTGGTTAGACCTCACAACAGACCACCATGACAAAAATACCCAAAGAGTGTAATATGCTTTTGCAGCAATTTATATTTCTTTTGGATACAGAAAAAATATAAAAGTGAAAGGTCTGGCATTACCTGAGAGACACCTGAAGAGCTCTCACCTTGTAACTTAGATATAATCAGCAAATGACAATTCCGTTAGCTGCTGTTTGAAAAATTATGTACACTCCTTTGGGTTAAGTCTTCTAGTACTTGCTGTACCTTTCAGTGAACTTCCTCATCAATTATGAATTGAAATTTGTTTAGAAATTAATTGATATAGGTGATAGTGCCATTACTACATGCATTTATTTCTGATTAACAACATACTCATTATTTTAACAAAATCAGATAGTATGCTCTGCTCACTAAGATACAGTGGTGAGCAGGTAAACTTGCTACTGCTGCATAATAAAACATTTTTAATAGATTTATAAGCAAACTTGAAGAAATGTGAACATTTTGTGTTAGTGGTTTAACAGAGGGCCAAGTGAGGATGAGCAGATGATAAAGAACAATCTCTGTATGTTAATACTATAATTTTTTCTTCTAGAACCAGTTTTAACTCAGGACTGTGGTTTTCATTCTATGAAGAAACCATATGATAGGTGATGGTTTTGATCCTTTTCATGTTAGGAGTATCACATCACCTGTTTTGATTCAGTATACTATATAGTATATTAAATGGGAGAATGTAATTGTATTTGTAACTTTCAACATGGAATCAGGACCAGGTTATCTTAGGACAGGATAATATCTTTATATGCAAACTCTGTATTACTTATCTGCCATACATGTTTGTTTTTCCACTGCGCAGGCGAGCGGGCTCTCCGGCCATGCTGCCTCCCACTGGCCTCGCACTCAGGTTAAATTTCTCAAAACTCTCAAATCTGTTCCACCACAATTTATCTGTGTGGAGGTTATGTGCTTAAAGGTGTTTAACTCACAGCCAAGTCTGGGTTATCCTCTCAGCAGTAACAGTAATATGTTATCAGTCAATAACAGCAAAACTAATAAAGAAGAATATAATTGAGCCTTAATGGTTTTATTGCTGGGTTTGAACTTCTAGAATTACAGAAGTACTGAAATGAATCTCACCTACTATCAGATATAATAGTAAAATTTGTTCCTTAACTGAAATAATTGTGATAAGGTACATCCACTTCTTAAGTTATGTTGAAACTGGGTGTCAAAAGAATAAATTATGCTAAGCCAACATTATTCCATATATTTGATATCCATTTTGTATGGCATAATATCTATTGAGTGGCTGTGATGTACCATCATTAAGCTGACCTCTGATTCGCATGTAGATTACAGCACAGAAATTCACTCTTTTCCCTTTAGCCTATGAATGATTGCACATTTATATTTCAAGTTGTCATGAAGTTTGTTTAGCATGGAAATATGAGTCCCACCCTTCTTTTATTGCGTTACGCAATTTAGACCACAGACAGAAAATTTGTAGCTTCAGTTTTATAGCATCTATTTGCTGTTACAGTATGAAATAATTTTTATCCTTGGTCACTAAGTTAATTTAAATTGTTTTATTGTAACTGCCACCTGAAGATTATTCATACTGCATGGGAACCATAAGCTTATCCTGTAGCAGCAGATATGAAACTTATTTGCAGGATTCCTCCCAAAACAGTGGCATACTCACTGTAGTTAACAGATTCATGATACTTCACCAAGAAGTACACTTTTTATTTGTATTTATTGCTCATTTTAGTTCATGCATAGGGCCATTTCATAAAGAAAACATACACACACTGGTACATAGGTAATTTCTCATGGAACTGGTGGAAATGAGGTTTAGTTCAAGCCCATGCTTTCTTCTGACACTAGCATTTCTTTTGAAGTGTGTTGGAAACAGAGTTATGAGATGCTCAGAGTAGATAGAGTAAAGATAAAGTTGTTTCTATACTTGATTAAGTAAGCATCACACAACGAAGATGTATTTGTGACTTGAGGTGTAGCTCGTCCATTCTTTACCTTGGCACTAGATAGGGGTGAGTGGTCAGCTTCACTCCCCTGCCACTTTACCCCTGGGGAAACAGCCCCCAGTACCCATTTGGTAGGAGACAGAGTGAAGCCCACATCCAGTCTGAACACTATGGGGAAGACGAAAACTCTTGCCCCTGCCAGAAATCTGACCCTGCCCATCCAGCCCATGGCCTATCTCTATACCAGCTGAGTTGTTTCAGCTTCCAGAGAGGATAGAACAGTTTAAATAAACTGAAATAACATGGCTCTGCTGGCAGACCTGCAGACAAATATGATCATGATTCAGTGACAAAATTTTTGCCCATGCTACAGATCAGACTCCAGATTTGTCATGCTCCATATTCTTAATGCTGCAGTGATCCAAGAAAGATAGGTATGCATTTTGTTGTCATGGATCAGGGGTTTGCAGTTGTTGCTGTGTGTCAGTGAAAATTCATATGATCATGAATAATTCAGTGCTAATAATCTGGTACTGCCATCATACTGCCTCAAAATATGCCACTACAACACTGCTGAAAAATATTGTTCTCTTTCATATGCTCTTATTTTCAGCAGACAAGACATTTGTAAGCCCCTCCCCCCCTAGTCATACATGTAGTACAGCCTATATATGAGTAGTATAATGATATGTAGTTAGTTGTAGCTGTACTGACTTAGGCTGTCCAGTGATTGAGGTTACCACTTTCTAACAGGCTCAACAGAGTATATGCCTCCCACCTTTCCACATGAGGACAGAAACAGATCCATTTCCTAAAGTGTTTTATTCTTCAGAATGCTAGATGAAGGACAAAGTCTGAACACCCAGTAAACCCTGAGCATAAGGTGTCCCAGTTTATGCAGATCTGTATATGCAGCATTCATTCCCGTTTTAGTCAGCATGGGTGTAATGTTGGAGTATGTTTAGTTATGCCTTGTAACAAATTTGTGTGCCACAATGTTTGGCCGGACTCGTGATTTGAAATGGCTTCCAGAATCAGAGTTTTAGTCTGTGAGATAGAGCTAGTAGTTTAACAATTTCAATTCACCACAAAAAAGATGTGGTTTTGGTGATGATCTGTAAATTATATGTGGTTGTTTTTGTTCAGTTCTGTAAGGTTTCATTATTACAATCATCTCTACTACTATAATGATTTTGCCCTTATATCATCACTCTTATCTTCATCGTGAAATATCTGACGTTCTAGTTTCTTTGTATGGCATTTTGTACATTTTTTTCCCCTGTCTACCCTTCTCTTTATTACATGTCACAACACAATGGCTGCATAAGACATGTCCACATTTGTAGCACAGTTTAATAATTCAAATGAACTTTGCATGTAGGACAATTTATATTCTTGGCAGTCAGTTTCTTAGGTCAACTGATCCCCCCTTTTAGTGAGGCATGAATGTCGCTTGTTATATAGCAAAATGTAAAACCCCATTTTTCCATATGTAATGGCTCCAAGGTATGTCCATGGAGATGATGGTTGCAGTCTACCTCTTTACTAGAATAATGTTTTCATACTCATCACATATGTCTGCTGCACTTAACTAAGCAGGCTCAGGAGAACATTTTATATAATAATCAGATACAGTGCCCCCCCCCCAGATTATGTTCTTTGACATATTTCCATGTCATGAAATTCTGCAACATGAACTCTGTTTTTCCATTTTATAAGTGTTCCTGTGGATTTGTTTTAATCCACAGCTGTAATAAAAATATGCTTTATCAAGTGTTTAATATGAACTATATATAATTCCTTTCCATACTCCTTTAGGTGTAATACTTGAGTTTGAATTTGATGGCCTCTTCTCAGACATATTAAATAAGGATAGTACAGTACACAGAGTAAAGTAAGATGGGAATAACATCCACATTACCAGCCCCCCCCCCCGGGCACTGTGCCTAGGCCAGCCATTGGTCAGATACTAACCCACATGCATATGGGACATGAACTTCTTAACAAATAATAATTTCTTTTAAAGAATAATTTGACATTAATATTTTGTTCTAATTAATCTTGTATTAAAAATCGAATGTTTATCCCAAATTTCCATATGGGAAAATTTATGATCCATGTGTCAGTTTTATTGTCACATTTTATAGTTTCCTTATAGGTCAGATTCTGTAACCCATATGTCCATAATGTTGGGGCACATTGTCTTTGAGAATTAACCAGGTCGTACTGGGAAGAGAAGAACGTTTTACAAGAAAGAGGAATTCTGGTGTGCTTTAAAAGTTGAGAGATGTGGATTTGGCTATGTTAGAAGGTCTACACGTTGTCGTTAAATTCATCTTCTACAGAAGTCTGCCTACAGAACTTCTTGAGGGCTTTTTATAACGAGAAATGTATGAAAGTAGCTTAGCAGTTGAGAGGTTAAATAAAATTCATTCCCTAGCTACCTTCATTTGCTTGAATCAGTATAGTGGTATCACATTGGTGTGCTAGTTTTAGCTACTGCTGCTCGTGCTCTTACTGCTGCTGCTTCTACTGAATTACAAGAAACATTTTATTGCAGTTTTCATTACTACTCCATAGGCTTCTAATTTTCTACTTCATCTCTATATTATTTTGTGTACACTAGCTTCATGCTGTAGAACACTGATTGTTCATTAAATAAATTCTTGCCACATATGTACAGTAACATGCGTGTCTTTATTTTAATTGTTTTTAAATGTTGAGATGCAGAGATTTGTATAAAATTTTGCACCCATCTGTCTTTAAATGAAAGTATGTAGATTTCACAGACATCATTGGAATGATAGCTTAAAAGGCCTCCGTTAGTCAGAATCTGGTCTGATGAAAATTATGCAGTAAAATGAATTACAAAATTTTATAATTGTCAGCTCACACTAGCTTCATTTGTAGAAAGAAGTAGTTGAAAGAAATTCTCCTCAGAACTTCTGATTGCTGATAAAAGTGCCCCTATAATAACAATTTGATCTCTGTAATTGTTTGATATGTGTTGTAAAATTTTAAGCTCTTATGCATTGCTGGAAGGGTTTGAACAGTGTGAACTGAAAGTTGAGCATTCCACCCTCCAGTCATCTGTTACCATTTAGTATGGTGATAATGCCAAAGGTGTAAAATGACAGATTTTTAAATTATGATGTCTGAACTGGATGTGTACATATTTTAATAGACTCATGTATTTAAGTTTATGAGTTTTTAAATTGATACTTAATACCCTTCTCTACCATATCATAAGAATATTATACCATAAATGAAAAGTTAAGTCATGAAAGATTGACTGAATAGTCTTTTTTAAATGATTTGTTTCAAAAATGTTAATATCTGTCTAACCATCTTTAATATGACGACTGTTCGGAGAGTAACCTCAGGTGAGCTGTTAACAAAATGAACAATGAAAGGAAAAACTGTATTATGAATAAAAAATGTGTACATGCTTAAGCTACTTCTCAACATAGTCACTGTTGGAATTGAGGCACTTGTATAATTTTGTATGCTTGTGTAAAATAAGTTTGCCTCCTATGAGCTCAGCCACGTTTTGTATTGTGAAATGCTAAAGAAATGGCCTAGGGCCATTCAGAAAAAGCTTGGAATACTGACATCTAGTATAGTGCTCCTCCATGACAATGTGAGTCTGCATATAGCTGCATGCACTTGAGCACTGCTGGAGCATTTAAACTGGGAGTTGCTTGACCGCCCTCCTTACAGCCCTGATCTTGATCCAAGCAACTACCACCAATTTGCCTACCTGAAGAACTGGTTGTGATCACAGTGCTTCAACAGTAATGAGAAGTTGACGGAAGGTGTCAAAACATGGGTGAGCTCACATGTGGCAGACTTCTTTGACACATGCACACATAAACTTATTCCCCAAAATAACAAGTCTCTCAATTCCTATGGTGACTACATTGAGAAATAGCTTAAGTATTTACATATAATTTGGCCACGCCATAGCTCAAGCGGTTAGTCGCTGGCTTCCCACTGTGGCGGCCTGGGTTTGATCCCTGGTCTGGTCAAGTGGGATTTGTGGTGGACAAAGTGGCGCTGGGGCAGGTTTTCTTGGAGTACTTTAGTTTCCCCTGCCACTCTTCATTCCACCAATTGCTCCACAGTCACCCTCACCTGTCATCTGGGGCTGGTACAGTAGGCCAGAAGTGGCCGCAGTACAAGGGACTTAGTCCCACCCCAGTAGCAATAAAAAAAATACATATAATTGTGTACAATGACATTTCTTTCTCATTGGTTGTTTTGTTACCAGCTCACTAGAGGTTACTTTCTGAATAGCCCTCTTGTTTTTTTATTGCTAGGGGTGTGGGACTAAGTCCCATGTGCTGCGGCCACTTCTGGCATGTTGTACAGCCCCAGATGATAGGTGAGAGTGATTGTGGAGCAATTGGTGGAACGAAGATTGGCAGGGGAAACCGAAGTACTTGGAGAAAACCTGCCCCAACGCCACTTTGTCCACCAGAAATCCCACTTGACCAGACCCGGGATCGAACCTGGGCCACCACGGTGGGAAGCCAGCGACTAACCGCTTGAGCTGTGGTGCAGCCCAAATAGCCCTCTTACTAGCCCTATACTTTAAGTTTTGAAACTTTCTTGGTACCATAAAAATGTCTAAAACAGTCCCATAGAGAATTTATTATGTTTTAAAGCTATAATATTGCAAATTGTATTGAATAATCATTGTTCTACTGCATGAGAAGTAATCATTTGTATGTTTGCTGCTAGGAGTCTCTTGAAGATGCCACATTGAGAGTTGTTGTCTCTTTCTGCACCATAGGGCTGTGAGAGAGTTTGTTATGTCACCACCATAAACAGGGAGGTATTTGAAGTGACACTGACATTTCATACATCCTTTTTGGAGTTCAGGTATCATATCTCATGGCAGAGAGTCCTTCTGTTTTCTCAGATAGTACTACGTTCTCTTTCCACTAATTGCAAAACCTGGGCACGTAAACCCATCAACTCAATCTTTAGCAGTATAATTTATCCACTTGCAGCATCTGTTATTGAAATGCTGCCTAGCATACAAGAATATTTCAGAATACAAATCCATGTTCAAGAAAAAGCTAATTCATGTGGAATATTTGAAGGACAAAACTTTAATGAATGAAATTCAGTTTCCCTCTAGTTCAGTCCATTTCTCTTTCCCATTTGCACATTGTCTTTAATGACTTTGACACTAAATAATTAAACTAAACCTGCACTGATTGAAGTACCCATTGTTGACCCTCATCAAGATGCTGTGGTTTACAGTAATTTAAACTTATTACAATTACAATTTACATTTGCTCATCGAACATTTGTTTGCTTACATTACTTGCATGCAGTCAATTCTGAGGGCACCAGGAATGTTTGAACAAGATCAGAGTCTCTCATCTTGACACTTCAAGTGCATATAGTTTATTCAACATGTGTATCCCTATGTCTTGGACTGCATCAATTTCTAACTCTTGACTGTCATAACATCTCAGCTTTTTTCTCTACATTTCATATAAAAGTCTGTGAGACTATGGAATTGGGTAACTATCAACCAAGAAAACGTATCCAGGTAGTTCCATTTAATCAGCTTCACATGAAATGTTTTATAATGGTGATGTAACAAACTTGGTCCACGTGAGCTTCTCCTAGCATTGCTGTGTCCATGTCTGCTACTGCTCGAGGTGCATATGGTGTGGCGTAGAGTAGAAATTAGTTAGTGTTGTGTGTGTATGTTGGTGCAGGCCCGGAGGTTACTCCACACCCCCCTCTCCTCTGTCTTCTCGTCACAGCAGTCAAGATTCATTGCACAAGAATGCTGCCAGCACTCCTGTGCCAGCAGCAGCCAATGCCTCTGTAGCTGCTGCCGCCGCCGCCGCTGCTGCTGCTGCACAGAAGAAAAAAGGCATCAAGTCACAGCTGGGTAGATTCTTCAGTAAAAAGGAGAAGGTAAGCTGTAAATGCATATTGCCAGCCATTCATGTATGTATATGCCGTGTAGTTTTCTGAATTGTAACATTATCTTCTGTTGTTACAACTTTTGAGGGAACATACTGCCATTGTCTCCAGGCAAAAGTGGTTTAATATGATAGGATTAGAGGAGGTGGTGACAAATTACGGACTGTTATGTATAACTGCTACATTTGATTTTGAAGTAATTCTCACAGACTCCTTTCTGATGATAAGACACAGCACTTTGATGACAGTGACATGACATGTACATCACATAATTATATAAGAAAATGGACCAAGCATGTTTCCTGAAGCAGTAATAGTTCATGCTTATGTTGGGAAGTTCCTGATTCAAATCTCAACTGGTGCATTTTCCAGGTCCTCCAGGAAAATGCTAAGATAGTGCTTTAAATATGGCCATGACTGATTCCTCCCATGTCCTTTGCAATTCATTATTTACTGTCATCAAATTATTGTGTGATAGTCTTTAGTTACTGCTGGTGTAATGTAATTAAGTGCAAACAGAGAACATAAGAAAATGGGAGTTATTACTTTTGGGTATTACTAATAGGTATGTTGACAGAATTTCTATTAATATTTATATAAGCATTATATTATCATATTAAGGATGTAAATTGAATATGTTTGAGAATAGGGTGCTGAGGGAATATCTGGACCCAAGAGAGAGGAAATAGCAGGAATACTGAGAAAATTACATAATAAGTTGCATTGTAATATTATTCCTGTGATCCAGTCAAGAGGGTTGAATGAGTGTGACAGGAGGGAAATACACAGTATATACAAGATGGCAATTAGAAACGTTAAGGGAAGGCATAACCTGGGAAGTCTGTACATAGATGGGAGAATAGGTAAATCTGCCCCTGTAACAGGCCATGAAGGTCCATAGGAGTGTGAGGGGTTGAGGCTCCCATATCTTCTAGACAGTCGGCTACCAGATGGCGGTAAAATTGTCAGCCTAACATGCCAGCTGCCCTCTACCCCCAGGAATCTTCCTGGTACTTATTTATGTTAGAGGCTGAGTCAATCCCAGGGCCATATTGCTGGTGGAAGGATTAGATAAATTGAAAAAAATTCACTGACCTCATTAGGAATCACACCGGTGACCTTCTGGCTTGTAGCACAGTGCCTCAACCAACTACACTGACACATGCTCCCAGATGGGAGCATAATATAAAATTAATCTAGGAGAAATAAGGTGTTTCAGTGCACTGTCTTAGGACAGTCTCTAGTGAAGAGCTCATTTCAGCTTTGAGACTCCATAAAAGACATGGAATTTCTTGACCAGCTGAGTGACTACTGGGTTCTTAATATACACTAATTAATGTAATCAGATGTTATGTTCCTGTCTTATTCACTGTTATTTTTATATAATCTTGAGCCGTTGTTTGGTGGTAGTTCGATAAAATGAGAGTCATGTTTTTCTTCCATTACTGATCACCTTTAAATTGTGTTATTTACTTCTTAATGACACTTTTTTATTGCTAGTGGGGTGGGACTAAGTCCCTTGTACTACAGCCACTTCTGGCCTATTGTACCAGCCCCAGATGATAGGTGAGGGTGATTGTGGAGCAATTAGTGGAATGAAGATTGGCAGGGGAAACCGATGTACTCGGAGAAAACCTGCTCCAGTGCCACATTGTCCATCACAAATCCCACTTGACCAGACCTGGGATCGAACCCAAGCTGCCGCAGTGGGAAGCCAGCGACTAACCACTTGAGCTATGGCACGGCCCTTAATGACACTTAGTATTGTTTGGCTTGTTCACAGGGTAAATCAAAAGAACCATCAATGATGGGCATAACACCCGGAGACCCAGCTGTGATGACTTCATCATATGTTGATGCTGACATGAGTGCTGCCGATTCACTTAGTCTTAGTGGAGGGCTTGGCCAGAAGGGAGATTTTGACAGGAGAAAGAAGAAAAAGTAAGCACAAAATAAAATACTCTTGTATGTGATGCTATATTCATATTTACCCAGAGCAGTTTATAAAGAGATGTGATAAATCCATAATATTATTATGCTGTTATAAATCACCTGATACAGTTTTAAAGTAAATTCACATAAAAATTTACACTTCCTTACATTTTGTAAGAATTCCATTATTAAATAAATATTGTGCCTGTAAATGAAGATAAAATTTAAGTTTTAAATATATATTAAAATGCAGATTTTTCCAGAAATAAAGGAACTTGTATGCAAGTGCGGTAGTTAAGAGGGGAGTGATGCCTTTTATCTTCTTTTAATAAAAGAAAATCAGTAAGCTTAAGCTGATGGATAAACCATCTTATAGTCCCCATTATTCCCTCAGTTGTAGTAAGAGATCTTCATTTTATGCTTTCGATTTTGTGTCCTATGGTAAAAGTCACTGCTTTATGATAATTGGTGTGTTTGTACAATAGGAGACATTGTCTCTGGTTATAAGAATTCACAGTTACTTGTGTCTGTGCGTGCCCTCAAGTACAACTATATGTAAGACTTAGAACATATGTGTGTGTATATATAGCTGTATTTGATGGTAAGTTTGAATACACGTTATTAGCAATGAAGTTCTCTGAAAATATGAAATTAGTACAGAGCTATTGCCTGCAACGCATTGATCACTTCTGTTACATTATATATACATATTCACATCAGAGATATATATTTAACAGTTCAAAGGAAATGGAATAGTTCTGAGTGATTTTCTATTTGTCACTTATTGCCAGACATGAACTTCTAGCAGAAGCAATGAAAGCAGGGACTCCATTTGCTTTGTGGAATGGACCAACCATAGTGGCTTGGCTGGAACTGTGGGTGGGGATGCCTGCCTGGTATGTAGCGGCATGCCGTGCCAATGTCAAATCAGGGGCTATCATGAGTGCCCTCAGTGATACAGAAATCCAGAGGGAAATAGGTATTAGGTAAGAACTGCTTTGCTTTTTATTATTGTATAGACCTACTTTATAACGGGTTAATGAAATGAGTGTATAGACTTTCAAGCTTAAACAGTTTGGGTTTAAACTGTATCTGTTCTTCATAATTGCAGCAGTCCATTGCATCGGTTAAAGCTACGATTAGCAATCCAGGAGATGGTCTCATTGACAAGTCCTTCAGCACCTAAAACTTCACGAACCACATTAGCATTTGGGGATATGAACCATGAATGGATTGGCAATGCATGGCTACCATCACTTGGATTACCTCAATACAGAACCACCTTCATGGAGTGTTTGGTAGATGCTAGAATGTTGGACCATCTGAACAAGAAGGACTTGCGAGGACAGCTCAAAATGGTTGATAGTTTCCATAGGTAATGTTAAATTAAAATGAAAAACTGTGGTGAAATGAAGTGATAAAGTGATGACGACAAATAGAGAACTTGATGGTATATGGGACAAAACCATTTAGTCTTGCAAACTATTAGATGCACTAACCTTCCAGTAGCCTGTTGGCATAAACTCACCAGTACAGAAAAAAATTTCATGCTCAAGACAAAGGTACTTTTAAGGACGAATGTAGATCCTCAAAAACATCAATCCCAGGAGTGGAATAAGTCATAGACAAAGTAGGCAGTGACTTAGGACCTTGCAGCTTATGGGGCACTTTGTGAGGCAGGCACACAGAGCACTATCTGCTGGGATGTAGTGCCGTGTAGTCTGTTCACAGTCAACCTATCAATGGAGTATGTGGCGTTATATCCAAGAAGATTACACTCTTCAAATAATAAAGTGTCTAAGACACACCCACACATCATCACATTTTTCGGTACCCCAAGGCCCTGCACCGAACACTGGCCTAGGATCCCACAAACTCTTAAACTGCCCTTGATCAATCTCACATAATTTGAACAGATGTGAATTAAAATTTTTTCTCAGGCTCAATTTCTGTACTTGCTGAAAATGTTCAGAATTATTGCTTTCCATTCTCCCAAAGCAAATTTCCTTTATAGTGCCAACATCTATTAGATCAGTGGCAAAGAAATTTTGTAACTTGCCACATTTAGTTAAATTTGTACTTAGCATCTGACATATCTTCCATTTTGATTTGTTTCATGTAAGTTCCTCTGTTGGCAAGGCCAAGAAACTATATCACTGCTGGCAGGAAATATAAATAATCATACCTATAGAGATTACATAATGGTCAAAGTATCTAATGGTCTTCAAAGACTAGTATAGAAAAAATTAAAGGTTTCCTTGGGAGACATAATGTGTGAATAGACTAATCTATTAATGGAACTCTTGAGAATGTTGCATAGAATCCAGGAGTTTGGAGGGACATGCTTTTAGAACAACTGCTTTCATAGATGACATGCTATGTCTTATGTTCTTTGCTGCTTTAACAAGCCCTAAGACAGACCATTGTTGCTGCTTTCATCCACATTCTGTACAGTCATTCATAACCATCCTTTATGACCATATGCAGTAAAAGAAGAATTCTTAAATAACTCGAGAATCAATCAAACGTTCTTCACAGAAATATGTGCACTGTGTGCTGTGACAGTGAATCAACACACATATCATGGCATGTTAGGAGACAAAACAGTGATTTAATTTATTGAACAGATGCTGTTTGATGCAATGAGACCAGACATTTTGAAACAACCTTATTACTCGTATAAGGGAGAATGAAGGTACTAAAATAATGCAGGAAACTTACTGTCTTTTATTTTCAGGACAAGCCTACAGTATGGCATTTCATGTCTAAAAAGGCTCAACTATGATAGAAAGCAGCTAGAAGAAAGGCGGAAATCTTCAGAGAATGACCTTGTAGACGTATTGGTATGGTCCAATGAGCGTGTCATACGATGGATCACACACATAGGGTTGAAGGTAGTTACAAAATATGGCTCCAAACATCTGGTGAACATGAAGTTGCAATGTTATACAATTGTAAACATATCTGAAAGCTTCTTATTAGAACTTTTGTCTCTTAATTATTTTTTCCTTCCTGAAGTTGATGTTAAGAAATTAAATTCAGATACATTATAATTGATGTTAATTTAATATTTTTCTTTGTGGTTTTAATACAGATGAATAAGCTTGTTGTGAGGGTAGCAGGATATTAATTCTTCAGCATAGCAAATGAAGGATTATGTCCTAACTATAGCTACATTTTGATGGAATGATTGGCTGCAGAGAGCTTAGTAATGATAGTTTAAGTTGAAGAAACAATATTGTAGGTGAAAATTGCAATATTTGTCCTGCAGCCCTTTTATTCCTATATCCCTTTTGTGAAGAAATGCTCTGAATTGCAGAACTTCTATTTCCTCTTTCACATGAACATGTTCTTGTCATAAATCAGGTTATACCTTATTATTGTAAATACTAACAAATTGTTTGTTAAAATACCCACATTTTGCAAAGAAGCTGAAAGTTTCTTACTCTGAATTTGCAGGAATATGCAAACAATCTTCTGGAGTCTGGTGTCCATGGCGCTCTCATAGCTCTAGATGAAAGTTTTGATTACAACAGCATGGCTTTGGCACTGCAAATACCAACACAGAATACACAGGTAAGGCACTTTACTTCCATTAGTAACATGTATAAATGTAGTGTATGCCCAGGTTTCCCAAGTGGTATTTTTACTGCAGATCTTCCAACTGAAATGTATTCATTTGTTACCTCTCCCATAAATTCTAGAGGACTTGCCCACTTCATTCCCCTTGATTTGATGATTCTGATAACATATGGTGAAGATTACAAATTATGGAGCTCCTTGTATGGAGTTCTGTCTTCTGAGATTTAACAACATGGAGTGAAGCAGGTAGCAAGCCAGTTGCTCTGCTGGTTTCCTGCTTCGCTTATTGTTTGACCCTGAACGTGGAACTGGCATGTTCCTGCAAAATGTCAACTGAGTTTCAACAGACTACACAGCATTAGATCCCAGAAGACAGGACTCTCTATAACCAGTGCTGTGAGAACCTCAAGTCCCACTTCCTTATGCAGCTCCCTGCAGCTTTTTGTTCCTCTGTCTTAGGTCTATATTTTCTCCTTAGTACTTTCTTCTCATGCATCCTCAGTCTGTGTTCTTCCCTTATACCCAAAGGAAACAGGAGGTAAAATTAGTAGTTTTATATGTTTGAAACTTTAGGATTTTAAGGAGGTGACAGGAAGATGAAAAATTCTGAAACAAATAATAGCAAGTATTGCCATAATAAAATACACACTACTCCAATTACAACGTCAACAGTATATAGCATGCATCACATCCGGAAATTAAGCTTACATAAAAGTGGAATGGTGAAAACTACACGGACAGTTTGCAAATCAGTTACAATCTGATAACAGACTTGCAAACATCTGTGCATTGGTTCAGTAAAATACTTCTTAGTATAACAGAAAAATTTATCTGTATAGTTCAAATCCAAAGAAATGTCAGTTATGAAATACATAAAACTTAATGAAAACATGGCAGGAGTACAGCTTGTAACATGAGTTTCATTATAATGACAGAAACCATTATAACCATCAATTTCTTATGTTACACATGGAAAATACATGGTGATGTCTCAACACAACTGTGCAAGGTGCATGTTTAAGGTTTGTCACATAAAACATTGTCTTCATTTTCAAATGTTATCAGTATCTCCTGCAGTGAGCATTTTTTAGGAAATGCATAAATTTTCATGATATTGAGGCCTCACTGTACAAAGTTATTACAGATTATTGCAGGCTCTACAGAAAGGTGTCAGAAACGATTCAGTATCACATTGTTGACTGTCCTTTTATTGCAGGGACAGGCACAGCATTAATACAGAACTAGTTTTCACTTTATAAATGTCATCCACAAACTGTACTGGTAGGTGCAAAATATAAATTTTTGCTGGAACTCTTAGGTGTCAACACATGTAAAACAAAGGATAGCAACAAATCCAATATTTTGATTAATAATGCACAGATTAAGGAAAAATGTATGGACATCAGCATACTTCGCTTTCAAAACAAAGACATAAGAGTTCAGAAACTATGCAGATATATCTTTTGAAATAAAGAATGCAGGGAAACAACAGGAAGTGAAAATTGTGACAGTTACTCTTTCAGCAAACACACTGGTATGAAAACAATTCATTGTGGCTCTTAAAATATGTCATACATCCCAGCACACCAGGTTCAATAGAATAGTTTTCTAGAAACATGCCCTAAGGTTCTGAGTAATCCTTTGTAACCCATGTATTTGTTTAAATCTTTAAGTAATTAGTTTTGGTTTTTAAAATTGAAGATTCAGGTGTAGTACTGTCATTTTAGTAGCAATAAAAATTATTATCATTCTTGTGCTTCTCATTGTTAATACTATTAGTAGCAGTGGTGGTGGTGGTGATGATGATGATTATGATTATGATTATGATTACAATTGTAATGGGAACATGAAATCTTCCTGTAATTGTTGAAGAGATATTGTAAAAGAAATCTGAACAAAACAAATTCTACCACACAGTCTAACGATGATTCAGTGGTGATAACTCATGATACAGCTACAACATACGAATATAATGTGTAGTTATACCATTGATATAGAAGGGTGATAATTGCCTGCCAGCACAGTTTACAGTGATTTGTTGAAAACTGCCGTTTAGACCTTCTGGATGTAGCACTGTCAAAAACTGATATTTGGTTTTACTTCAGGTTTTCAAAGAGATAAAATTATGCACATTAATATGCAAAGAATGTTCCAGCCATGGTCCTCACTTGATAGTTTGTTCATGAAACCATTTTGTATAGCAAGTAATTTTGTTCATTTTGGTGTCTAGTTAGTCACATTGCAAGAATTATCAGTAAGATACCTAGGACATCCACCCAGTATCACACACACTTGATAGACCTATTTTTGTAATATAGTGAAAATTATTCTTTGTTGATTTCAGGTCCGACAAATGTTAGAAATGGAGTTTAACAGCCTGCTAGCTGTTGCAACAGAACGTCGAGTGGAATCTGACTTGCCCAAGTCTTGATATTACACTACAAGACATCCACACACTTAAGACTCTTTCAAAAAGATGTCGTGGACAAGTGTTTGGACTGAGAGGACTCGGGCACTCGTCCCGTCCCGTAGTAGCCATCGCTCGGCATTCCTTTCTCAGTTCGAACTGGACGGATGAAACACCAGCATCGGTTGGTCGGTACTTGCATTCTTTTCATCCACTGACACTTTGCTGCATTGTGGTACAAAGTGTAAGCATCTTACCTAATTAGCCAGCAGTGTCTATTCCATCTTTTTATTTGTATTTGTGTGTTTATTTTATTTTTTTATTTTTAATAATTTGATTTCGGCCAGTGCTGAATCTCCCATCCCTAGTCTGTGTCGTATCAAAGCAGTTGGACTGATGTCTGAATGTACTGTAAATTTTAGTGAACTGTCAGATAAAAAACACCTGGTACATAACCTGACACTACCTCCACCCTCATCCAGACACGTTGACGTATTTTCTTACTTTTTTTCTCTTGTTTTAATATTTACAAAAGGGACTTGTGTTATTGTTTCCTCAATGAAAAAAAAGAGCTTTAAGAATATTATTAAGTAATGTAACTGCATAATTTTGTCAGTTAGTGCCATCATGAAGAGAAGAACCTGCGGAGCATCAAGTCAGTAATCCACTTACCATATTGTGTATTATGTAAGCAGTTTACCTGTAATCCTTCCTCCACGGTGAACCTAGCCCTGTTTCCATTAGCTCTTTTCTCCTTCTCTGTACTTAACAGAACTGGTGCTCTGTTGTTATTCAAAAGTGAAGACTTGTTAAAAAGTCTCTGTTGGTTGGTAGTGTTCAAATCGTGGGACATTTGCGGGCCTACAGTTTAAAAATGATGGGTAATGAAGTAGATGATCAGAACTGTATGACTTATTATTGATTCTAGTTGAATGAAATGGTTACCAAAGTAACTGGCAGCTAGCCAGTATGTTGAAATGATCGTACAGAAGTGAGGTGAATGAAAGATTAGAAAGGATCCATTTCAAGTACATAATACAACTGTTGAATGTCTCCAGTATTATTTTATACTCTGGTCATGTTCCGAAAACTTAGTCCTTCACACAAGATTCCTGAGTATAAAATATTAACAAACTTGCCTTTTTCTAATAACTTCTTGGCTCTAACAAGTATTTCATTCTACATGTTCATTAGTTACTTTTGCAGTGCTGTTACTGATAAAAGGACCAAGCTAACTATAAAGGTAGGCTAATGTAATGGACAGAAGCAGCTAGAGGGGATGGAAATCAGTACATAATTGTGTGACATGTCAGGACATACAGAAATGTAATATTTATTTTAGTTACGTCAATAATATTAGCAAGGTAATTTGTTCTGTGATTGCAGTTTTGAATAAGTAATACTATTATAGCAAGTGTCACATAACTTTGAACAAGGCCAGGGTGTGGAGGGTGTGAGACGTGACAGGCGGCCAGTGGAAGAACGAGTGTTAAGGAACTCCTCCCACCACAAGCTATGCGCGGGATTTGACTAGGAATGAGGGGCCTTGTTCGAAGTTACATGACACTGTCTGTAATCCTTACCTAAAGCAGATTAATTCAGATAAATTACTCTGTATAAAATATGTTGCATCCGTTGAACAGTTTATTGTGACAGAAAATAATACACAGAATTCTGTCTATACCCACAGAAAAGTGGGTGAATTTCCCTTAATGAATTAAATTATTCATCACTTCATATTTCAGAATCCAGATGTGAGATTTAAGGTTTTTCAATTGATCAAGATTATTAATGTAATATTCTGGAATATGTCATTGTGAGAATGGAGGCAGCAGGTTCCTTCCAAACATAGTAACCGCCTACAAAACTACATGGTGTCATAACCTAAAAGACCACAATCCTAATTTTAGAAGCCAATTGGGCACAGTCACGTGAATCAACAAAAATTTAGATTCCTTATAAGTGTGTTAAACGGTATATTTTGCCTCAATTATTAAGTAGTAGATCATAAGAAAGTCTTGAACAAAAGATTTTCCGTATGATGAGTATGTAGAACATACTGAGGAGGAACTCCCTTTCAAGTTCACCTGCTTTTCTCTTAACAAAGACAAAACTTTCAAGATTTCTAAGTATGTATCCATAGGATCCAATATGGTTGTGAGTATTGTCCCTTCTTCACACATTCCTTTGTCAACAGGCATATTAGTAATTCATACCACTATACTCAGTTGGATTCATTAATTAACTACAATATAACGTGTTTCTTTTACAACAGATGTTGATTTTCATAAAATGGTATGTAGTAGGTTCTTCAATGTGAAGTATACCAGAGCATAGATACTAACACTCATTGTCACTCATCTGTGCACAGGAATGTATTCCTTTCAGTTTGTGACTGTTTATGAAGAATGATGACTTGCCTTTACTGTGAAAAGCATAATTGAAAATCAGTGTATTTGATGAATGAATATCAGGAAGAACAATGATCTCAGTCTTATCCGGATGTAATTTTCTTTTCTTGCTTTGCTCTTTCAAGCTTCTTTCACACACACACATACATAAGAAGGCTTAATTGTCAAGTACCAGTTTCTTCTGCATGATTTAAGTATTGACTTCTCACTATCAGGGGTGTTTGATTTTGGAGGGGGACAGTGTTGCAATGTTATCAAAATTTCTAGTTTTTTATTTTTAATGGTACAGTGAATTCCCCTTAAAAAGAAAGTGTCAGCAGTTCTAAGTGGATTGAGTGTCTGATGGATACTCGTATAATACATGTCATGCACACAAATTTCATTGAAGAATTGCAATAAAGTGCATATATGTTTAGGTTAGAAAACACACTTGAGAACCTGAGCACTAACTCGAACTATGCGGTTCCTATTAATAGGATTCCAGAAAGTCTAGACTTGTGAAATTCATGAGATTTCCAGGAATTAGGTAACCAGTAGCTGTTGATGAAGTCTCGTTGTTAAAATAATATGCTTTGCATTCATTGTAACTTGGAAGGGCGTGGGAAGAAGAAAGATACAAACGTTTAAACGTAATGAAAGTGGTAACCAGTTTTGCAATATAAATGCTGATATTTCGTTCCAGTCTCCATACTCTCACTGTGTCCGTCAAATTGTCAGCAGAAGTACATTGATTTAAGCTGCAAAAGCTAAGAAATGGATAGTGTTTCATGCTGATTTAGTTGTTGAATAATTTCACATGCTTTTATATTTCTGGACTTATGGAAATAGTGCTAAGACAGCAGAAATATATGATTTTCTTTACAAACTCTGATATATATATATATATATGTGTGTGTGTGTGTGTACATGAATTAATGAAAGCATTTATTCTCCCAATGGACTGAGATTAATTCTTCTGCTTATCTTAAAAAATTATCAACATCTGTGTGACATTGGTGTAGGGTATGAGGTCTTTGCTGATCACTTCCTCTTTGACTGAAACTTAAGTATTCTGAAATATAATATTAAGTATTCTTAGTTTTTCAATATTTTTGTTTTCTTTAAATGCCCTCATGATCGTTAATTTGGGACATGTTTACAAAATATAGGCATTTGAATTAAAATAGCATTTGAGTCCATATGAAGACGAACTAAATAAAAATAAAATACTTAATAATCAACCTTTCTATGTTTAAGTGCATGCATATGAATTCTGGGCAACACAGTCTTCTGTTAATAATCTGTTCTCACATAACTGCAATCTGTTTTATGATGTGATAATTCTTTCATGTATGATGATGCATTTGAAGGAATGAAAAAATCTTGATCTTAAAAAAAAATTTTCCCACTCCCTGTTGCTATCTGTGATGTTCTGTTTCGTTTCGATCAGTAAATATGTCTTCTTCAAGCCCTGGCATTCTTTCTCAGACACCCATACTGGAAGAGTTCTGAGAAAATAATTGGAATACTCCAGACTGCTTTATGGGTTTGAATGCAGTACAGCATCTTTAGTATGTCCTTGTTTAGGTATTATCATGTTTAGGCTGGTTAGTTTGTATGGCCTGCTGGTTCGTTTTGTGTTGCCCATGACAGTGTCCTTCCATTCCCAAAAATATGTGTTAACTCTTTCCTGCTCTTTAAAAATTGCAGAAAATCTTGTCAAGAAACTATGCCCAAAATGGTTACTAGATATCCATGTAATTTTTCCATTAGTTTTTTCTGACTTGTAATAAGTAGCTTAGAAGAATATGGAATGGATATGACTCCATGAACATCAGCAATATTGCTACAATCTAGCAAATCTCATTAAATTTAATAAATAGTTTTTGAACTTTATGGGTCCAATTCTTAATTTTATGCTTGTGCTTCATAAATCTAATCATTGCAGGGCAGGTAATTTCTATCGGTATATTTGAAAAAATATATTTTTTATAATGAGGCTTGCATCTAGGTAGCTATACAGGATATGATGTGGCCCCTTAATGCCATACTTCATCATTTCCACTCATGAATCTTTCCTCTTGGCCTTGTCTCTAATCCAAATAAGTATATAAATCGACATTCTGATTATATTTTTGTCAAACAGTCGTCTGATATCTGACTTTCAAACTTTCAGTACCATATTTGATAACTCCAACAATCAACTACACATAAAAGATGCAAAGTTTCATTTACACACACATATGCACACACATGGTTATTTCAATTGTGGTAAGTTGCTCTATGTTTGGCTCCTTCCATATAGTTTGCATCATGTATTAAATATGTTCCTGAACAGGTATACCTTGAAGATAAATCAGAATTTTGATTATATGAAAGAAAAGAAACCTCTGAGGTACAGCTTAATACTTATATTTATTTACTTGAAACTATTCTAATTATACATTAAATTATATACACAACTGATTATTTCTGTCAGTCATTCATTAGATACAATGTTATGCAGACTGTCCTGTTTTCATTGACTTTACTGTAGAGTAATATTAGTTGTATTTAAATTGCCTTTCATGTTCTGTCAAGTCACACTTATGCTGGTCTCTAATTACAATAATTACCTCTACTTTTGAATGTAGAGAGTTAAAAGTGATTTGGACCAAGAACAAGCATCTCAGGAGCAGGTTAACTATAAACATCTTTTTTCAAGGATTTAACACAGCTGTTAGTATTATAAAAGAAAAGTTTAATGCAGTTATTAAAAGTATTGAATGAGAAATCCTTCAGTTTATTGTAGGTACCTAGCTGTTCCTTCTGTTTGTATAAAGCCTTTCTTCCTAGCGAAGGTTCTAAGTTTTCGTTGCATGTTTGTGTATCTGTTGTCATGCAGTGGTGGATGGAAAAAGTTTGAGTGATTTGTCAAGATGCTTGTAGTGAGATTACTCGCCCCATTCTGTGCATTGTTGTTACTACAGGGAAAATATATTGTAAGAAGATTATTGTTTTGTTGGGAGATAATTGTTCTCTCTGCCCCATCACCAATGTGTTCCCAAAAAGTCGCTTTTGCACTTGCCAAGTTGCTAGAAGTATATAACCATGTTAGATATATATATATATGTAACTCAATTATTGAATAATAAAAATTATGGTTTTCTGGCAGTGTGAAAGCGACTTGATGCTGAATGGATGGAGCTCAGTACACAGCATTAAGAATTAAAGTTAAAAAAAATGAAAAAAGAAAGCTGTTTCACTGTACATGTACCTCATTGATTCTTGATGTGTAATTCGGATGTTTCCGTAAGAAATGCATAGCAGCGATTACATGGTAGAAAAGAGTCCATGACATGAAGGAACAAAGGGATACACAACCAAACAATAAGGAAATACTTTTATATTCATTTAAATATCTGTCCACTAATCTCTCTGCTAATGGTTTCAGCATTGTTTTTAGGATTGTGCATTGTATTATATTGTGGGCCTGTTTTGTATGGAACATTCAGTGTATCTTCTAAACCCAAGTATGACTGCATTTTGAACAACAGAGATTTTAATGGGCAGGCCATTTCACAGATACTTAAAGCTAGTCTTTTATAACGAGATTTTTAATCTGTTGCAATGAAATGTGTATTCCCAGTATAATGTTAAAGTTTCAGTTCAGAGAAATAATACCCATTGACTGTACTTGGGTCTGATGTATAAAGTAACATAGTGAATTTATGACCCCTTGTTTTCCTTGTTTGTTACTTATTTTTACGAGAAAAGAACTGTTATATAAAGAGCCACTGTTTAAATCCAAAAAATATAAAATAAATTGCTAATATACAGCAGTGCAAGAAATCTACACCCAGAATCTTGGCTAGAGACTGAAGTAGGTATTTGACATGTCTAGCATTCCAGTCAATGACAGAATAGCCTTGATCCAGATTGTATCTTGACTTATACTGTTTTGCTCCCGTTGTGTGGAAATGTGTACAGATTGTATAGATCTAGCAATAAACTGTACATACTTCAGGAAGAAGAATTCTCATTCAGAATGTGTAACATGAAGACATACGCAGGACATGGTTGTACATGAAGGTACGCTGATACACTGAGGGGAGCTGAAAGAAGGCAGTATCAAAAGATTGTAGTCATGAAGTAAAGTTCCAAAATTATATATTCCTGAAGTAATTTGAGATGTTACAATTGTATAATTAAGAAAATGAAAGAACTTCAGCAATTACATGTGAAAATAAGAAGATTGAAATTGTTCGACCAGGATAGGATTCGACGACAGAGTCTCAGCAAAACAATATAATGATAATGGAAATTGCATGTCCTCTTTTTATTATTAAGGTAAGTGAATTGCATTTCATGTTTGTTCTATTCTGTACTATGTGCATGTTAATTTTTACGATATCCAAGACGTCTACCCTAATTCAGTCTGATTTCTAATGGACTATAATATGAGGCAGTATTGGAAAGATTCCGGACTGTTATTATTGTAACTGCTTCAGTGAAAGATGAGAGGGGAGGCCAAGGCCACACTTCTGCAAGCCTATTGTATCAGTCTGCCACAAGAGATCTTGCTGTGAACACGCATTGTTTTTTTTTTCCGACTTCGTGTTTCATTTTGTCTGCGATGGATGGTAAATTCGAGCAACGTGTCTGCATCAAGTTTTCATGTGACCCCTACTCACTACTGCAGTATGACATTATCGCAACTGCGTGGAAGTCATGTTTACCGACTGGCGCTTAGAAGCGGGTTGCATAACTTTGTTCCACTGCTGTGTAACTTAGTAAGCAACTGTTTATCAACAGTTATATATATATCTGTGTGTGTGTGAGACATGTCAACCCATTGTTGGACGACGAGATGTAGATTGAGTTACCGCAAAGACAGATATGTTTGACAGCATGTTTGATATGCGTATATATATATATATATATATATATATATATATACACATCAAACATGCTGACTTCACCTCTTTGCATTTTCTTACCTCTTAAAATTTCTCATCCAGGAATAGGAGATTTATATCTCCCAGTAATTTATGCAGCAGTGATGGCTTGAGTTTAACTTTGGGTTAATGATTTGATATTGAAAAGAGAGACAAGACTTGCTTAACCTGCATATGTGCCATGAAAGAAGAGCAATGGATGGAGAACAGATGTTAAAAATGTTTTCAAATGAAGTGTTCCACTAGATATATATGCAATGTTTCAGAACTAATTGTAAGAAGAGTTGAACAAAGTTCACATATGGCTCTCATGCATCTCAAAAGATCCTGTTAAGTGTGCTTGTGAAGAGGAATATAACTTGATGTGGTAGTTCAGTTTCTCACACAACTCATCAGCATATTTGCACCTGTTTTCAAACACGAACAATATAAATACAGATTATATTGACAGTATTTAAAAATAAACCATTACTGATGTTATTCGGTTATGTAATGAATTTACAAACTGCACTGTAGGTAGCAACATGTACGTGGAAATGTGAGTTTGTACAAATGAGGATAATTTTTTTGCAGATTCATTCAAATAAATAAATAGTAAAATATATTTTCCATTAGCTATAGGCAGAGCAATATATGTTCTATATTCATACGTAGAGGTTGTTTCTGTCCCGAAGGTGCAGTTCAGAGCTACACCTCTGAGCAGGCTGTCATTTATGAAATTGAGAAAATGACATGGCCCTTTCCATCATAATTATAATTCTGAAATAAATCCCGAGATACTGCAATCAGAGCAGGCAGGAGTGGTTGGAGAAATGTACCCCACATTCCTCTCCCAAAATACATGCATCACATTTCTAATCGGTATCCTGGGAAATACAGAGACCAATGACTTTACATGTGATGTATGGGGTAAGTATTAAAGTCACTGATACATATCTAGAGCAAAGCAAACGCCAAAATGTTTTTCCTTCAAACATGACAACTTGGGGGAATACAAGAGCCAAAATGGAATATCTAAGAACCTTCAATTGCTCTAGTCAGCAAAGTGGCACGTCTTCGCCAACTAAGGTCTTTCCAGACTTCCATCGCCATTTTTGTTCACACGAATTGACCGCAATGCAGGCATCCGCCATTCTGTTCCAGCCCCCATCGTGCGTTTGGATGTTGTTGCTTCGGTAGTAGGCCATATAGAAAATGGCACCATATTCAAAATTCTAAATTCACATTATACCTCCTTGATGCTAATACTCGGATACAAAATCACCATTTTGTCGCCAATTGACGTAAGCATGTCTTCGAAAAATACTGAATCTATACCCGGGAACTATGATAGTCGAAGTATCAGCTTCACAGTCGTCGTCTGGTCAACAAAGTGGCACGTCTTTCCAAGCTAAGGGCTTTCCGGACTTCCATCGCCATTTCTGTTGACGTGATTGGACAGTAATACAGTTATCCACCATTTTGTTCCAACCTCCATCGTGCGATTGGCAGCTGTAGCTTCCGAAGTAGGAATGAAAATGACGCCATATTCAAAATTTTAAAATCACATACCTCCTTGATAATACTAATACCCGGATACAAAATCCCCATTCTGTCGCCAATTCACGTAAGTATGTTCTTCGAAAAATACCAATTCTATATAGGGGAACTAGGATAGTCGAGGCGGTATCAGCCGCATTGTCTTGGTCTGGTCAGCAAAGTGGCACGTCTTTGCAAGCTAGGGTCTTTCCCGAATTCCATCGCCATTTCTGTTGACGCGATTGGACCGCAATACAGGATCCGCCATTTGTTCAGCCCCCATCGTGCGACTGAACGCTGTAGCTTCCGTAGTAGGAATAAAATGGCGCCATATTCAATTTTTTAAAATCACATACCTCTTTGACGATGCTAATACCCGGATGCAAAATTCCCCATACTGTTGCCAAATGACGTAAGCATGTTCTTCGAAAATACTGAAACTACATCCGGGTACTAGGATAGTGTAGGAGGTATCAGCCGCCCTATAGTGTTCTAGCCAGGAGTGTGGCACGTCTTGCCAGCTAAGTTCCTTCTCGACTTCCATCGCCATTTTTTTCTGATGTGATTGGGCCGAGAATACAGGCAACCGCCAGTTTCTTGCCGTCCCCATCGCGTGATTGGACGTTGTAGCTTCCGACTACGAACAAGTCACATTATGTCGCCTTTGTGATGCTAATACCTGCATACAAAATCCCCATTTTGTGGCCAACTGCCCTAAACCTGTTCTTCGAAAAATGAATTTGTATCCTGGTACTAGGAGAGTCGAAGTGGTATCAGCAGCCCTGTAGTGCTCTAGTAAGCAAAGTGGCACGTCTTGTCAGTTAAATTCCTTACCGACTTCCATCGCCATTTCTGTTGATGCGATTGAACGTTGGAGCTTCCGGAGTAGGAACAAAATGGCGATATGAAAATTCTAAAGTCATATTATACTTCCTTGGCGTTGCTTATACCCGGATAAAAATCCCTATGTTTTCTCCAATCGCCGTAAACATTGTGAATCTTTATCCTGGTACTAGGATAGTAGAGGAGGTATCAGTCAACTGGCATGTCGGACTTTCACCGCCATTTTGTTCCCGCCCCTTCATGCGATTGGTCGTCCAATACCGGCATTTAAATATTGCCATCTTGTTTCCGCTTCACATCACGCGGTTTGACATTGTAGCATCGGGACTAGCAACAAAATGGCGATATTATTTTAGAAATGATAGAGACAACTAGCAGGAAAAATGATATTGTGTACCTCCACGATATACCAGGAACAATCACCATTTTGTTTAAGCCTGCCTATTATATGAAAAAGGTGAATTAGTATCCGGCCACTAGGATAGTCGAGGAGGTATCAGGCGCCTTTTGTCGTTCTAGGTTGGCACTACTGACTTCCATCGCCATTTTGTTCCCCTCCCCCATCATGCGTTTGGACGTCCAATACCGGCATATAAATATCGACATCTAGTTTCCGCTTCACTTCACACGGTTTGACATTGTATCATCCGGACTAGCAACAAAATGGCGATATTTTTTTAGAAACTAGCAGGAAAATGGTGATATTGTGTACCTCCACGATATACCGGGAACAATCGCCATTTTGTTTCGAACTGCCTTTTAAGCCTGCCTATTGGATGAAGAAACTGAATTAGTATCCGGCGACTAGGACAGTCGAGGAGGTATCAGGCGCCTTCTGTCGCTCTAGGTTGGCACTACTGGCTTTCATTTTCATTTTGTTCCCCTCCTCCATCATGCGATTGGCCGTCCAATACCGGCATATAAATATCGACATCTTGTTTCCGCTCCCCATCACGCGATTTAACACTGTAGCGTCCAGACTAGCGAGAATATGACTATAGGTAGACCTCCACGATATACCGGAAACAATCGCCATTTTGTTTCGAACTGCCTTTTAAGCCTGCCTATGGGATGAAGCTGAATTAGTATCCGGCGACTAGGACAGTCGAGGAGGTATCAGGCGCCTTCTGTCGCTCTAGGTTGGCACTACTGGCTTTCATTTTCATTTTGTTCCCCTCCTCCATCATGCGATTGGCCGTCCAATACCGGCATATAAATATCGACATCTTGTTTCCGCTCCCCATCACGCGATTTAACACTGTAGCGTCCAGACTAGCGAGAATATGACTATAGGTAGACCTCCACGATATACCGGAAACAATCGCCATTTTGTTTCCAATTACCTTTTAAGCCTGCCTATTGGATGAAGAAGCTGAATTAGTATCCGGGCACTAGGATAGTTGAGGAGGTATC